TTGGATTGTCGAGCATTCCTGCTGGTGCATGGCACCCTCGCCTCGCACGCCTCACCGCGGTGCGTCGGGGCGGAAGCCTTCGCGACGAATAAGCGTTAGCCGCGCGACAGGAGGAGAGGCTGCGGAGAGCCTGGAGCGGCCTGGAGCCTGGAGCCCGGAGGACCAGGTCCTGAAGGACCAGTTCCCAAAGCGAGTCCGCCGCCGCGCCGCCAAGCGGCTACTGGAATTGAATCCTCGGGCCGTCGGGGCCGTGGGGGCCGTCGGGGCCGCCCGGGCCGCCCTAGAGCCTACAGACCTGCGGGCCGTTCGGCGCTTCGCCCTCGCCCTCGCCTCACCGACGTCCAGCAGTGCCGCGGCCAGTAAACACGGCGTTAGTATTTTTTTGAGCAGCCAAACTGATAAAACAGGTTCGTGTGTGTGGCGGCGGCGGCGCCCCGCTAGGCAAAGCGGCGGGCCCGGCGCGCCGCTTAAAGAACAGTAAAAATTGATCTTCCACCGACCAGGACCCGGAGGGCCAGCAGGGCCAGCAGCAGGGCGCGGCCCGCCCCGCCCCGCCCCGCCCCGCCCCACCGCGGGCCTTACCGTGTCGGCAACGCGCCGCCCTGCTTTGCCTAATTGACGGACGACCAGCTCCCTGTCTCTGTCGCACCCACGGGACGCTCCGTCGGAGAGCGAGAGAGAGGGGAAAAAGCGTCTTCTAGGATCGGTGGCAGGGCCTGCGGGGCCAGCTGCAGCGCGTTATGCTCGGAGGAAGACGTCGAGGAAAATGAAACGGGGAAAAAGCGGAAAGCCATAATTAAGCCCCGCCGCCGCGGCAGCTGTCAACGGCCAACAAGAAAAGCGGGAAAGCGGGGTGGGTGAAAACAAAGACAGGCAGAAAAGGAGAGGAGCTGAGAAGCCAAGGCTGCGCGCTGCGCGTGTCAACACGGACCGCATCGGCCATCCGACCGTCCGACGCATCGGCCCCGTCGGGGCTGTGGACGCTGCGGCCCTCGACAGGGCTGGAATGCCACCAATGACGTCCCTGGACACACACACACACTCACACTCACACACACACACACACACTACACACACACACACACACACTCACAGCCCTGCGCATCATCACGCGTCGCCTCCGCGCTCCAATTAATTTCCCCCGCGACGCGATCCTTTCCTCTCCAAATGAATCGGCTGCGCGGCGCGCGGACGAGAAGACGAGAAGACAAACAGTGGCGGCCTGGCCTGGCGGCGCGGTGAAAAAACTTCCCACCGTGGACCGCATTCTGTGCTCCGTGCGCTATCAGTCGGATTGGATATTTTACATACTTTGTGTGCGACGGCTGTTAATTGTCGCGCCGTGGCGTGGCGTGGCGCGGCGTGGCGTGGCGCGCCGGGCTGACGGCGGTCTGACCCGCCCGGGCGGCGGGCGGCCGCCAAAAGTTCATTCCTGAAATCGCAGCGCCGAGCGCCGAGTCGCCGGGACGACCAAAGGCGGTAATTAATTTCCCGCCACAACGGCCCGGAGGAGGAGAAGGAGGAAGAGGACGAGTCGGTCAGCGCGGCGGCGCGTCTCGACCGTGTGAATCGGCGGCCAGTCCGCCAAGACGGCCAAGACGGCCACGACGGCCGCCAGGCAGGCCGTCCGGCCGTGGGGGGTGGCGGCAGTGCCGGCAGGGGCTGCGCATCCCCGACGAGCAGGGCAGCGCCGTGGCCGCGGCGGCCGGTCGTCGTCGGCGTGCCCCTGCCGTGGGAAGCGCTGCCCTCCGCCCCCTCGATGAGGATGACGCGCCCCGGGTGACAGGCACACCGTGAGGCACGCCGTGGAGCAGCAGCCGGGCGAGAAGACGTGTACAGTCGCGCGATTCACTGCCCCGCCGAGGGCTTTTTGACAGGCGGGGCGGGGCGGTGCGGGGCAGTACGGGGCGGGGCGGGGCGAGGCGGGGCGAGGCGGGGCGGATCGTGGGAACCGAGTGCGGCTCGCGGCGGCCGGCCCGTCCGGGATGGCGCGTCCGTAGGGCCCGTAGCGGCGACGGCGTGCACTGTCTCTATCGGGGCGTGGTGGGGCATGGTAGGGCGGCCAGTTCGCTCCAGCGCGCCACCACGTTATCGAGCCACCAGCGCTGAGATATGGGCGAATATTTCGGCCAGATGAGGCGGGCCGACCTGACGGTCGCACGCAGGGGCCGGCGGACGGACGGACAGACAGACAGACTGACTTTGCGGGCAGTAAATAACGCACGACGATCATCCCGTCCCATCCGGGCCGTCCAGGCCGCCCTGGCCGTCGTCCTGGCCGACTCACACGCCCGCGTGGGTCGTGGCCCGTCCACCGCGAACGACCACTTCACGACCGCGATGACAACCCGTCGATGATCCACTGCGCCTTCCCACTCGGCCTCCACGCTGCAGCAACACGCCCAGGAACACGGCCAGGATGTGGCGGGATGCGGCAGGATTGGCTGGCAGGATGCGCATGGCGCCAGCAGCGCCAGCCAGGAAGCAGCCAAACTTTCTCTGTTCAGATAAAGCGGACTGCCGCGGTGCGGGCGAGTCCCGGCATGTCCCGAATCGACGAATCGATAGTGTGCCGACGGCGCCGAGCAGGGAGGACGCGAGGACCCACCCTGGACACTCCCATCCGTCCGGCCGGGCTGGCTTACAAACATACCGAACCCGACCCAACTCAAGGGGTACGTTCCACTTGGTCCCACGACGTGCCGTGCCGTCGTGCCAGTGTCAAGTCGAGCGAGAAAAGCAATAGCCGATGCTGATAGCCCCACGGCCCCGGCCCGCCCCGCTCCGTCATGACTCAGTAGAAAGATTCCACGGAAAGGGTCAGTCCGCGCCAGAACCAGAACCCAGAGGGCCGCGGGAACGCCTTTGCCGCTCGTCCGTCAGCACTGCCCAGCGGCGGGGCGGGCAGGGCCCACCACCAGCTTGCGCAGGATTGGCACGGCATGCGAACGGGTCTCGGCTCGGCCTCCACGACGCGCAGCTCGCGGACGCCGCGCTTGCCGGTGCGCGTCGCGGCCACCATCTAGAGCAGCGGCCGGCCGGCCGGCAGCGCGGCGAGGAGGTGGCCGCGCACGCGAGGCCGCCATGCCGCGATCCGCGGCGGTGCAGCGCGGGCAGCGCCTCGTCGCGTCGCGGCTGCGCCGTGTCGCGCCTCGCCCCCCTCCCTGTTGCTCGCGCATCGCATCGCGCATCGCGGCGGGACGGGACGCCGCGACACGCAGCGCCGCCACCTCCTCGCCGCGCCGACAGTGCGCCGCCAAGGCGGCCGAGACCCTCGTCTCGTCCAAAGTGAAACCCCCCGCGGGGGCCGGGGCAGGGCGCGGTGCGCCCAATAACTCTATCCGGCCGCGAGGCCCGCGATGGCGATGAACGACGCCGACGTCAACTAATCGACAGAGGACGGCCCGCCACGCCTAGAGCCACGCCGCCGCCTCGGCCAGGTCGTTACACGAGAAGCTGATTTCCGTGTGAACCGCGGAAGGGGCAGGCATGGCCTGGTGGAGGATGGCGAAGAAGGCAAGGAAGGCCCCAGCCCTCCGCGATGCTGGCCCCGCGGCCCCGCGCCGCGTCTACCAGCCAGTCCGGTCGGACTATCAATCAGCAGGTTAGCCAACTTTTGAACGGCCGGCCGGCCAGGCAGACAGGCAGACAGGCAGCCAGGCAGGCAGGCGCGCCGGGTACGGTCTCGGCCAGCTCGTGATTGCCGGATATGTGGCCAGCCGAGTCCATCCACGCCGACAAGGGAAGCGGCGCAGTGGTGGTTCTCGGTTCCCACGCACTTGTTGGTGCCGCGGAGTTTGGCAAAGCAGACCGGCGCCACCATCGTCGGGCCGCGGGGCCGCGGGGCAGCGCGGCCGTCGTGGCGGACTTACGGGCAGATTAGCGGTAATAACCGCACGCGGACCCTCACGCTCACACACGCACGCGGACGGACGCTCTCTCACACAGACACGCCAAATCGCGCACCCCATAAAGCTATCTGTCCGGCTCAATAAAGTGCAACGCGCGAGGGCCTGGCCTGTGGCTGGCCTGTGGCCTGACCACAATTTGCGTAAATCACCGCGGACGCCCGGACGCCGCCGCCAGGCACCGCCAGGCCGCGTCAGGAGGGTCGCGGACCCCCGGTGCACCTCGCCGTCGTACCTCGTGGCGCCCTATTGATAATGCTGGATGGGGCCACGTATAATGAATTCCATGGAAAGGCAACAACAACAACAAGACTCGTGGCGGGCTTATGGCCGTCCCGGTAATTCGATGAAGGAAGGAATATGGCATAATAAAGACCTGGCGGAATGTGCGTGTGTGTGTGTGTGAGCGCGCGTGTGTGAGTGTGCGAGTGAGTGTGCGTGAAAGCCGCAGCCCACGCACACAGCCATAATGAGCCCTCGACGCAGCAGACGCAGCAATAGGGCAGAGGAGAGCGTCTCGCTGAACCGCGACGTGACTTCGCACCTCGCGCGACGCGCCGTGGGAAAGAGGATCGATACCCGTCCGCAGCATACATCACTTTTTACATCTTTTTATTTTCTCTCCACGCCACAGTTCGTTCAATCATCCAATAAACTAAGCATCCGACCAAAAAGTTCCCGCGCCCGGTAAGAAAAAGGCGTCCCGCCTCCTCCTCCCCCCCCCTGCGGACTGGACCGTGATGCGCCCCAAACGTGAGAGAATCCCCTCCCCCTCCCCCTCCCCTCCCCGCACTGCACCTCCAGACGGCCTGCTGGCCGAGAGATCAACGCGTTCCCACACTGCCATGCCGTGTTTGTCTTGCCGATAATACTCCCACGTGAAAGGCGGGGGGAGGGGGGGGGATGAGACGCTGTGTGACCTTTCAAGGATTGTTATTAATTTCAATGTTTGGAGCCCGCCGTCTTTCGCCCGGCTCATGACGAGCCGCGTCCGCGACGCTGGACAACACGACGCGCGGCCGAGGGTGAGGGTTCGAGTCCCGCCGGGGGCGGCCGGGAAAAAGACAGAGGGAGACAAGAAGTGTGACTCACCCGTAGAGCAGGGCCGCGCCCGCGATGCCGCCGCCGCACTGCGCCGTCACGAACATGAGCGCGCGCAGCGGGGTGACGTTCCTGGTCACGGCCATGGCGGCCGTCACCGCCGGGTTGGCGTGGGCACCTGCAAGCAGCACCAGTTGATGTACCGACGTCGTCGCCGAGCTTCGGGGCCGCGCGCACAGTGGACAAGAAGACCGGCGGAGGCGGACAAAGCTCCAGATGCGTTTTGAGCTCCAGAGTCAGCTGAATGGGACTCGAACCGAACGTGTGACCCCACCAATGGATTGCTCTCCGTACGAGGAATCCATTGGTGGGGTCACACGTTCGGTTCGAGGCATGTTTAGCGACTCTAGAGCTCAAAACGCGTCTGGAGTTTTGTCCGCCTCCACTCCATCGGTCTTCTGGCCCACTGTGGCGCGGCTTCGCGGCCGAACCCCGAAAGGAGTTTGGCGACCAGGCCGCGGCTCTGTCCGGAGCAGTGGTCTGTCGCTCTCGCACCCCCGACGCGTCGCCCCGTAGGTGCGAGAGAGACAGTAGCGCTGAAATAGGAGGAGCGCAGTGCGATTGGAAAATGATTTACGGTTCGGCTCCGTTCGCACGCCATTTAGCATGCCCCGCCGGGCCCCGCCAGGCCCCTTGCCAGCGTCCGTCCCGCTCGCGCCCGCCGCGGCGCCCCTCGAGAGCGAGAGAGACGGGGCGAGGCGAGGCAGGACGTCCAGGACGTGCCTGTGCGGGGCGGGCCGGAATTAAAAGCGGGGCTTATTTGCAGCTTTGCAGCGCTTTGCAGCGCGGCACAGACAAAGGGCGCGGCGTTTCCGCTCTCGCTGCTCTTTTCCTTCTTTTATTCAGGAATGAGGTTATTTCTCATCCCCGCCAGACCTGCCCGCCAGACCCGCCACTGGCCTGCCAGGCAGCTGCCGGCCCGGCCACGGGGCCAAGGGCCAAAGGGCAAGGGTTCGCTCATTCTCAACTTGCGTCGCTCTGCCTCTCTCGCACTCATGGGAGACGCGTAGGCCGTGTAAGGGTGCGAGAGAGACAGGGCGACGGAGCCAGCCTGCAGCCACAGTGCCGGCTGCCAGAGAGCATTTCCCGAGAGGCATCAATATTTCGGTTGCCGCCAACGCCACTCACCTGAGATGTGCCCGAAGCACTGGTACAGCGTGGCCATGGCGAAGCCGGCCGCCAGGGCGGTGGCCAGCAGGGCGCCGTTGTTGTGGGCGGCGCCGGAAGCACCCGCCGACCCGGAGGCGCCGGCGCCCGCGCCGCACACGACGAACACCAGGAAGAAGGTGGCCAGGCACTCCGAGATGGTGGCGCGCCAGAACTCCAGGGTGCGCAGCTCCGCCTGCACGGTGGGCCGCGGCTGCGGGTGCGGCGTCGGCACGCCGCGACCCTCGCGCCGGAGGGCGTCCACGCGCTCCAGCAGCGTCACCACGGCGTACTCGACGCTCTGGGGGTCCATCTGGGCGGACGCCATCGTCGAGGCTGTCTTCGACGGGGGAAGTTGAAACGGCAAGGCGGTCGGGGGGAGCGCGTCGCGGGGTAGTCCGCGGAGCACTGGTTGGTCAACACTGGGATGTCATGGCTCCCACGCACTGCCACTGCACTTTACACACACTCACACACTGACACTGGCGGCGGAGCGCGAGATTCAACACGATCGCGTCCCGTCCCGTCCCGGCCCGACCCGTCGCGTAGCGGCACGAGCGCTCCGTTCAAGCCTCACTGACTGAGTGAGCGAGAGCGAGCGGCGCGGCGGCGGCGGCGCGCGGCGCAGCTTCAAGCGGCAGCAGGACGGCCACCCCCTCCACCGCCGCTGCCACCCCCCACCACCGCGCCACCTTGCCGATGCAGCCCCGCGCCACCCCAGATGCAACCCTTCTGCTGTCCGTTGATGGAAACGGAGCTTTTGTTTTTCCAGCGCAAACTCATTACTTCCTCAGACGCTGCAAGTCACGCATGCGACACTGCTAAGGGTGACACCCAACCCCAGGAAATCCGCGAGACGCTCTAACATTCTAGATGCACTTTGCACTTGCGATCTTCCAGCCACTGCAAGTTGCAAGTGTTTGTACTGCGCTTGGTACTGCCAGTCACACGCTCTTACACACTCACACACGCGCAGACGCGCCCACGCGGACATAAAACATGCCAGCCAGCTCTGATTTGGAGTGGCAGCTGGATAAGGGGGGGGAAACAACGAGATAAGCCATTTATCGTCGAAAAAATGATTTTAGGACCTGCGGCGTCGTTGGGGAGGAAAATATGCATCCGTTGCGCGGCGTGGCGGCGTGGCGCGGCGCGGTGCCGCGGTCTCGGGGGAGTCTTCAACGCGCTGCATGCGCGGCACGGCCGACAGCCACCCCGCCGTGGCAAGTGGACCGCGGAGGCCGCGGAGGCCGCGAGGGTGCTCGCCGCACTTGCAGTGGCCTAGCCCGGCCGCAGCCGCGGCACCGCAGCACCGCGGCCACAAAACTATAACACTGTAAGGCACTCCGCGGGGAACCGTTTACCCCCTTTCCTATATTATGAATATATTGGCAGCGCGGGCCGCGGCGGCTGTTTTCATAATATTGACTTTTAGCGAAACCCTTTGGCTCTTTTTATGGGGACGCGTTACTCATGCAGCGAGATAATCAGAGTGACAAATATAAAAAGGGAAAGAGGGAGACCTGTCGCGTGGCCCACATGTCGTCCGGCACGGCGGCTCGCCGCGACTCGCGAACACGCGGTGCGCCGCAGCACCGCATGCGGCCGGCGGGACGCTACCAACTATGTGTTACGTAAAATGTGATCGAGTCCTCCTAGACTTTGCATACTCCTGTGTCACGGATACATGTTCCAGGCGCCTGAAAGGTAAGCGAAAAGTCGCACGTTGCCCCCTGTATGTAGGCAACTTCTGTGACCCCCCCTCCCCCTCCCCCCGCCCCAACCGCTGGATCCGCGCCTGACATGTTCTGTAGAGTTTGCACATGGGAAAGAAATCAAGATTAGCGATTTGATGGGGTGGTTTTAAGGTCCACTCGTCGCAGGAGCTTCCCTGACTGAGTCAGTGAGAACCGGCGGCCACCCCCTTTCCCTGGCCCTGGCCGATGAGACGTCACCCCGGCCGCCTCCGACGAGTGCCCAATCCTCGCCTGCTGAATCCACGCAACTGTCGTGCCGGGCCGAGCAGATACTAGACAGTGGCGGTGGCGCCCCAGCCTGCGAGTGCGAGAGAGAAAGAGAGAGAGAAAGCGCGAGTCAGTCTGTTGGATTTTACAAACGCACCCCTCGCCGGTTCATGGGAATCTCTTGCAGTGCGCCGGTCCCAGCGGACTCACGGCCACCCCCTCGAGTCCTCGACTTGACAGTGCTGCAACCAGTGCGCTGCGAGCAACGCGCGCGCACTTGCAGCGCCGAACCGCCGAACCGCCAAACCGCATGCGTTGCACCGACCAGTCAATCGAAGCCATCATCCTGGTGAGAACTCGGCGGCTCCGACCCCCACCCCCGCTCCCTAGCTGGTCTGCATATCTCACCCCATCGTCGCGGGGGCCTCCAGGAGGGGGTGGCGGTGGGAACCGATGGCACGGCCGCCGCCCCGCCCGCCCCACCGCAAAATCGCCACAGAACCCGCAAATCGCTCCGCACGCAATCGTCAACACCGAGCAGGACAAAGAGGATCGCTGATGACACGTCCTCGGCGGCGGGGCGGGGCGAGGCGGGGCGACGCGGCGTGCGTGGGAGTGGGAAGACAGGGGTTGATGATCGACGCATTAGCGCAACCCCTTCCAGAAACAAAAACATGTGGGAATGACGAGCACTTGTCGCGCTGTCGTCGTCCATGGCCGCGTCGCCGCGTCGCCGCCTCGCGCCGCGTCGTGGGAACGGTCCTGGACGTTCTGGACCGGCCGCAGTGGAGCCGCGGCGCAGCCTCGAAATATGGAACACTCACTTGTTTTCGGAACGTCCCTCTGGCAACCGACAGGTGCTTAGCGAAGAAGAGTGCCACTATCTCGGCTGCCGCCTCCGGTTTGGCGCGGCTCTGCGGCTCCGCGGCCCGCACCGCGTTCGGCCCGCCATCGCCATCCTAGCCAACATGGACGGACTCCAAATGGCGGACTGCCGCGGCAAGGGCCCAGCAGCCTCACTCCGTCTCTCTCTCTCACACCCCCGCGGACGGGCCACGAGTGCGAGGGAGACAGGCGGTGATATTGTTCGGAATCAGTCCGCACTCCGCAGCCCTGCAGTCAGCCCGCCCCAAGCGCCCCGCGGACATCCATCATGAAACGTGTCGGCGGCGAACCCCGCGCGTATTAATTGGAACGATAAAGGGGTGCGTCTGTGTGTGTGTGCCTGTGTGTGTGTGTGTGTTTGTGTGTGTGTGTGTGCGCGCGTGTGTGTGTTATTGTGAGTGAAGGGCTGGGAGGGGGCGGTAGTGACCTCAGGCGATTTGAAGAACTGCTGCTGCTCAGGTCTGGAGCGACTGTTATTTCCAGGTAGCTCTTCCAACCCTTTTAATCGAAGGGGCGGAAAAAATAGTTTACTCCTCCCGTTTCTGCCAGCAATGGAGGCAACCCACCCTGCAAACGCTGCTGCTTTTCCAACAAAACTGTGTACAGTATTTGAATTTTCATACAAACCTTATTTCGAATTTAAGAGTACCGCTGGAGCCAGAAAGGCTTACTGCAGTTCCAGTGCAGTGGGGTCCAACTTGTTGCTTCGCTTTACAAACTGCACTGCACTGACCAGCACTGACCATGCGGTCTGCAGTTGATGGCCTCTCTGAGTGTTGAATTCAGGTAAAACCGAAATTGTGCCTTTGAGTCGAATCGGTGTCGCGGATAAATGGATGCATGCGAAGGTCGTGGAGGGAGAAAGTGAGGAGGAACAAGCAGCAGAAGGAGAAGGAGGAGAAGAAGAAGATGGACGCCGAGCAAGGCGAGCGAGGCGAGATGACGCCTGTTTGTTTCAGAGACTGCCGAGTGGCCGAGAGTCGTTTTCGTCGCTCTGTCTCTCTCGCACTCGTCGAGGCGTCCCACATAGGTGCGAGAGAGACAGAGCGACGAAAACGACGCTCGGAATCAGTCTGCAGCACAATTCCGGGGCATTCGGCCCATTGTCAAGGAGTGGTCCAGCCAGGGCACTGCCAGGGCATGGAGGAGGAGCGAAGGAGGAAGAGGAGAGAGGAGGAGGGATTTGTAAAGCCCACGTGGGGGTGGCACAGGACGCACAGGACGGGATGCATGCCCTTTGTTGCGTTTTCTTTGTGCAGTCCAACCTTATTCTCCACCTTCTTCCACGTCCTTCTCCCTCTCTCTCTTTTCCCCTCCCTCTCTCCCCCCTTCTTTACGAGGAGTACGACGCTTCGCGGTATCGCAGGATCACGCGCAGGATCTGCCGAACGATTCCGACGCTCTGTCTCTCTCGCTCCCCTACGGGTCACCCCATGAGTGCGACAAAGACAGAGCGACAGAGCGATGACATGCTCAGCTGCGCCAATCATACACACTCACTGCATTGTGCTGCGATTGAGCGGGCCTAAGCCAGCCAAGCCCGCCTCGCGGCGCGTGGCGCGACCGTTGACCCAGACAACGACGACAACCCACCAGACTCCGAGAGTCGTTTTCGTCGCTCTGTCTCTCTCGCACCATACGGGACGCCCCATGTGTGCGAGGGAGACAGAGCGACGGGTAACCCGGTGCTCCGCTTCTGTGATACATAACGCGAATGGAAACATGAATACGCACGTCCGGTATCATTCTGTGTTTTTGACAGGGCAGCGGCGCGCGCCGTGTCCGTCGGTGTCGGTCCGCCCGTCGTGGAGCGTGCGCAGGTGTGTCGAGGCGCGCCAGTCCGCCTGCGTCCGTCCGTCCGTCCGTCCGTCCGTCCGTCCGTCTGGTTCCTTGATTCCGATGAGTAATGTAAGGCCGAGGGCCGAGTGGGGGTGGGGCTGCCTGCTCATGCCCGCCGGACTGGAACTGTATTAGAATCAAAGGCCCGGTCCGGTTGCCCGCACGAGCCGGTGACTGGTGTATTCGGAGCGCGTGGTGTCCAGTGCCGTGGCCGAGCACAAGAGAACGACACCACAAGACAAGTGAAAACACCGAAAACTGACCTCCGAATCCTCCGAAATGGTCCCAAAAATCGGATCCAAATCGGTCCAGGGCCGGTATTTACTCACCCCACCGGAAGTGAGCCGGACGCGGCTGCGGATCATGACTGCGCACCCCGATGTGTGATCGGTCCGATAGTGCACTGCAAACAACGCCAGTGGCGTGGAGTGGCGCTAGCGGGGCTAGCGGGGCTGGCCTGGCGGCTGCACGCTGCGCCCTGCCTGGGGTTGAGGAGGCCAGGTGCGAGGACCGGCCCAGGACCTCCTGGAGGACCGGAGGAGAGGGGGGGGGGGCGAACGCTCGCCAGCTGGCGTGCGAGAGGCTGCTGGGCTCAAAGATTGCTGACCCGCTTGATAATGAGGTGAAGCAACAGGACAAGGGGGAGGTGTGAGGTGGTGTGAGTGTGAGCGGCGAGACAAGAACAAGAAACACCGCCCTCTTGTTCTTCTGCCATTGACCGTCATTGACCAGGTACGGAGCTTCGACAGGTATACTGACTGTCTCAGGCATCTCAGGCACCGTCGCTACTCCAGGCACGCGAGCTGAGTGGAAAATTTTCCGCGACTGGAGTATTGATTGACGCGGTGGTTCAGCGCAGGGGTTGTCGCGCCTACGCCTCCCGGTGCCACCCTGGTGCCACCCTGGTGCCACCCTGGTGCCACCCTGGTGCCACCCTGGTGCCACCCTGGTGCCACCCTGGTGCCACCCTGGTGCCACCCTGGTGCCCCTGGCCCTGCCACCTGGTGCCGTCCTTGGTGTCGTTGGTGTCGTGCCCCCAGCTGCACCTCCTCCTCCACCTTCTGCCGCTCCGCGTGCTCATGGCGTGCTCCAGGCTCCAGCGCCGCACACGTGCGAGAGAGCGAGAGGAGAACGAACGGACGGGCAGCCCGCAGCCATCACACAGCTCCCTGGTCATTTTTTGTGCCCCTTTTTGAGACACACACACACACACACGAGTGCGCACACACGCAGACACACACGCGCGCGCACGGAGCCTCCTGAAAGACGAACCTTCTGCTGCGCGCGTCCACCATCCCCCTGAATGTGCTGGAGCAGCACAGCGCCAACCAACGCACGACACACCGTCGAAAAACGTTCCTCGAAAGGAGGCAAGCGTGCCATCGGTGCCATCTCAAATCGACCCACGTTCGCAGAAGTCGGAATCCAAGGATGATTTCGGTCGAGATTCGAGCCGCAAAGGCGCCTAGCAGCCTCGGTCAGCTCGTGGACATGTCACGGACTAGTCATGGACATGTCACGGACGGGGAAGCAGAGAACCGGTGAGCGGCCGAACACTTGGCCAAGAGCGCGGTTGTGACGCCGACACACTGACGCCGTGAATGCGCGGCGTGGCGCAGGCCAAACAGGCCAACCTACATTCTGATCCAGAACATCCAGAACTGCCGGTATAAAGTTTCTCCCCAAAAGAAGCAACAGGCAGGCTGCAGCCAAGTGCAGCCAAACTCCAAACCTCCAAACCAAACCCTTGGCGGCCCTTGGCGGGGCCAGGCGGGGCGGGGCGGTGGCGAGGTGGAGCAGGGAGGAGCAGGTGGTGCTCTGGGTCCATCCCCCCGCCGCCCCCGCGGCCCCCGCCGCCCCCCGGGGGGCTCCGGCCCTAACTCCGGTCGTGCAGCTGCCGGCCGGGCCGTGGCGTTGCGGGTCGGCCGCGCGCCGCGCGTGTGTCGCCTTCCTTGGCCTGCCTTCGCCTTGGCCGGATGAAATGAATTTCGGCGTGTGGATCGCGTCCAAGTCGCCCTACCTGGACGGATGCCTGCATGGCCGCCACGCGCCTCGCTCGCTGGGCCCCGCTCGGCCCTCTGCCCAGCGATTCAGGGAGTCGTTTCGTCGCTCTGTCTCCCTCCCCCACCACAATGAGACACCCCACGAGAGCGAGGGAGGCAAAGCGACGAGACGACTAAGCGGTAGCAACCCCCTAAAAACAACGAGGATAAAACGGGAAACCAAATAAAACCGAGACATTGACACTGGAGGGCCACGTGCAACCTGGGTTATGAACTGCTTCAGGGCCTTCAGGGCCTTCAGGGTGCACCCGGTGTTGCCACGTTGCCAAATTCAGCCGAGATGCAGAAAAAAAAATAAGACGGGATGCAGAACATCTGCCTTTGCCCTGGCCACGTGGTGCCGCAGTTTTCCCCTTTGTAGGTTCTGCCTTCACCGTCGGGGTCGGGAAAGCCAGTATTCCACTGTCAAGCATGAGCCTCTCACTGTTACTTAGTGAGGTTTGTATGCATCAAAAATACTTCGGGCCGCCAAAATCAGCTCGAAAAAACGATCCGATGATATCGATAGGTCAAGATGATATAATGATAATATAGAGCGTAGAGGCGCCTGGCGTTCAATTTATCGCAACTTTCCGCATTTTTCTAAAGTTTATCCCTTGATTCCGTTGACAAATACTACTTATAGTTTTCTTTTAAAGCTGTCTAAAGTCTTCTAAAGTATTTCTCACTGGTTCTAGTGATCACGACGCACAAGGACGGCAACCTGCCTGCTCGCCTCCCCCTCGGTGTGTGTGTGTGTGGGGGGGGGGGTGAGGACAGATTTAAGAAAAGACGGGCCCCTCACATCCACTGTGGAAACAATAAACGAAGCGGCCTGAACCGGAAGTACCCAAAGTACCGGAAACCACCGAGTGCCACCACTTCCACTTCCGGAATCATCCTCCTCCTGTCTTCGCCTCGTCTCGCTCAGTATAGCTGCGCGATTCTGATTCGTCGCCGTGTCTTTCTCGCACTATTACGGGACGCCCCATGAGTGCGACGGGGAGAGAGAGTCCTGAAACGAGCCTCCGCGCCTCCGCGGCCGGGACGCCGCCTCGCCTACAGGCCCGATGGGTTGCCTACTGCCAAGGCTGCACGGGAGCGCAGGGAGCGCGCCTGCTCGCCAACACGCCCGATGGGTTGCCTACCTCCACGGCGGACAGTGCCCGCCCGAGCGATCCGCTAGAGTTCATCTTTTGCAGAGTTTCTCTTTGTATTTCGCACAAACAAACAACTAAAAATAAATAAATTAGGTCATTTAAATATCAGTCGATCCCGTTTTTGTTTCGGAGGGGACGTCGGTGGCGGTGCCGAGATCACAGTGGGGGCGAAGCGCGAAGCGAGGCGACGGCGAGTCGGGTCACTCGGCGTCGGGCTGCTCGGGCTGCTCGGGTTCCTGGGGCGGCTCGGGTACCTCGGCGGCGGGCCCCTGGGGCAGGTTCTCGAAGGCGCTGTTGTCGGGCCGCTTGGTGGGGTCGGTCACCCTGCCCACCAGGATGGTCAGGTTGTCCAGGTTGTCGCGCAGGTAGAAGACAAAGGGGTGGTTGGCGTGGAACACGCTCAGCCCGCTGCGGGTGGACATGCTCATGGCTGCAAGAGGAGCGTTGCGGGTTAGTGTGCAAGTACGTAGTCCCTGTCGTGTCGCACTAATGGAGCGACAAAACGATTCTGCAGAATCGCTTCGGCTGGGTGCCGAATGGCCGAACTCACCGGAGAGGTAGTTGGCGATGGCGGTCTTGTCGTCCACCTTGAACCTGACGAGCTGGGCCATGCCGTCGTCCTGGAGGTACAGCCGCTGGCTCTTGGAGATACCGGGGAACTCAGCAGCCTCCTTCTCGAACATGGAGGTCATGCCCAGCTGCAAGCAAAAGCAGAACCGCGTTAGCGTGGGCTTCGGGGCCGAACCCCTTGGCAGCAAGGGCTGCTCGCCGTGACGCACCTTCTTGAAGACGGGCTGCGGGTGGGAAATGCAGTCGATCTCGAACTCGGGGATGGCGACGTCCACCTGCTTCTCGCGCATGTTCTTGGCCAGGTACCGGAACGAGTACTTGGTGAGGGCCTCGGTCAGCTTGGGCAGGCCGTCCTGGACACGCGGCAGCAGCACCAGCAGAGAGTAGCGTCCACCGTCACCCTGCGAAAATCATTTTGTTGCAACACTGTTTTTAACGAACAGCTCCCAGCCTGGGGGGAAGCACACTCGAAATGTCCTACAATGGAATTTGAGCTATTTTAGTTCAATAAATTTGTCCATGATAGGAATATTTTGTTTTGACTGCCGCGACGTGTCTTGTCTCGCACCTTGTAGGGCAGCTCGATGGCGGTGGCGTTCAGCTCCTTGATGTCGCCGATGCGGAACGCGCCCTGCGTGCGGATGGTGGTCACCTCCTTGGTCTCGCCGCGGCCGTCGCCGACGAAGAAGTCGTCCTTGAACTTGGCGTCGAAGGGCACCTGCCAGGTGCCGCGGTAGTACAGCGCGTTGAAGGTGGTGAGCAGGAAGGGCCCGCCACTGGGCTGCCGGCCGTTGGTGTCCTCGGCCTCGCGGCCCTTCTTCTTGTCGTCCTTCTTCTTGTCGCCGCTCGGCTTCTTCTCGTCCTTGCCGAACTTGGCGAGGGACACCTTGTCCTCCACGGCCGCCGGCTTCTCCACGGCCTCCTCCTCCTCGTGGTGGCTCGTCGCCGCCTCGCCGACCTTGGCCGTGTCCTCCTGCTGCGGCACGGCGTCAGCGGCCTCGGCCTCCTTCGCGGGGATCTCGGCCTTGATGGCGTCGATGGCGTCGACGACGGCGTCCTGGGCGATCGCAGCCTCGACGGGCAGCTCTTCCTTCTTCTCGTCCTCCTTGACGTCCTCCTTGATCTCCTCCGTGGGCTTGGCCAGTGGTTCGTCCAGGGCTGGCTGCTTCTGGATGTCCTCGCTGGCCTCGGCGGGGGCGGCCGGGGCCTCAGGGGCGGCGGGAGTCTCAGGAGCGGCGGGCGCTGCGGGAGCCTCAGGGGCAACGGGGGCCTCCGGGGCAGGCGCGGCTGCGGGTGCGTCGTCCTTGTTGACGAAGAACTCCTCAGGCGTGTCCTCCTCGATGGCTTGGATGTCGCGCACGTCCATCAGGTAGTGGTCCTTGAGCACATTGGTGAAGGGCACCTCGAGCTGGATGCTCTTGGCGTACACGTAGAACCAGCTGCGGAACTCGGGCTTGCCCACGGTGTTCTTCTCCTGCGCAGCCAAGTCAGGTCTCGTCACGGAAACGACACAAAACCACGGTGAATTCGAACCAGCAGCCCCAACTCACCCTCATTCTGCTGAGCACGGACCGGTACGTGGCCCTGGTGAGCGAGCTGTCCTGGGGCAGCTTGAGGGCGGACAGCATCTGAGAGCGCGTCTTGCCGCTGGCGCCCTCGGCCAGCGCGGCCAGGATGGCGGAGTAGCCGAGCGGGGAGTAGGCCGCGTTGCAGTTCTTGTCGGCCGAGTCCTGCAGCAGGGCGGCCGCGATGCCGTTGATGCCCTCGCCGATGAAGGCCCCCGGCGTGGTGGCCTGCTTCGGGGCGTAGGGGTAGGCGGTGCACGCCGCCAGCACCGCCAGCACGGACACCACTGCGAACAACAAAGGGAGCCGTCAGCGCGGCCATCCCGGGGAAGGCCCTGCACTGCATGCAGTGCCCCGCCCAGACCGACCCTCGACCAAGTACTTGCCTGCCAGTGCGATCTTCATGTCGATGCCGTCGCTTCGCTCTGCTCAGCTCTGATCCGCGGGTCCGGCTTGTCCTGAGTGGAGGCGCGGCGCGGGTGACGCCCGCTATATGGACCTCGGCGCCCTGCCCTGCCGCCCTGCCCTGCCGCCCTGCCCTCTCCCCTCGCCCCGCGGACCGTCCTGGACCAGTCCGTCGTCCGTCCGCACCGGTTTGCCGGTTTGCGCCCCCCTCTTTCTCCGCTCGCCCCTTTCTCGCCTGGCCCTGGCCTGCCCAGCGTCCTGCAAACTCGACTGGCCCTCGATCACGTCCTGTGGGATGCGCAGTGATGTCACCTGCAGTTAGCTCATGCACTGCACCCAAGTGCACCGCCAGCCCCGCCAGCCGCGCCAGCCCGGCGCGCAGACCGGTTCAAGTTCAAAGTCCCCCGCTTGCGGCCGGTCCTTGGGCCTTTGCGGTCGCTTTGCGGTGCATCGACATCTGCCCTGCCCGACGACGTAGCCGCTTCCAGTATTTGCTCGGCGTCCACTCGTCGCTTTGTTCAAGTCCAGCAAAAAATTAAACGGCGGTTTGAACGGCAAATACCTATTCGGATTCGGTGCTCGTAAACCGGGACCCCGGAATAGGACTCCACCAAAACCGGGTCGTGGCGAATCAGTGGGCCAAGCCCTGGCCAAGCCGTCAGCCCTCGTCTGTCACGCGGCCGCGACGCCGCGACGCGACCTGGAGGCTGGCGGACAGACTGGAGGACAACGCGGCGCGCAGAGCCTGGCCGCCAAGGAGGCACGCGTGGCGAGCGAACCAGGCCGACAGGCACCCTGTTTGGTGGCCGGATAGCCGGACGGCCGGAGCACCTCAATAACCTTCTTGTCTTGATGGTGCGCTAAAACTGCCACTTCCCGTTGGAGTCCGGGCGACGCCAAACAGGCGGACAGAGCGGCCAGGCGACCAGGCTCCGGCCGACGCGAACGACGCGAACCCCGGCCGGCCTGTCATGTCGCCTAAGCCGCGGCCGAGCGGGCTGGATAGCTGGAGCCACCCCGCCGTACCCGTACCCGGTTCGAAGACCCGTCCCGTCCCGTCCCGTCCCGCCGGCCCGCACCCGCGCCACCACCCACTGGGGTCCTCGTCGGACGTCGCACCGCGTCGCACTCCGTCGGACAGCCGCCACCTTTCCGGGGTTCTTCAGCGCGAGCGACAAGGACGCCACGACACCGCAAGCCCCTGGCCGTTACGCCCTGGACGCGGCCCTCCGCCGTCGCGTTGCTGCTGCTGCTGGCCAGTGCTGGCGCAGCGCTGCCTGGAGTCTGGAGAAGACGTTTGGCACTGGTCACCGCGGCGGCTCGGCTCAAATCGAGGCAGAATCGGGACTCGCGACTCGGGCCTCGGGGCCGCGAAAGTTACTTTACATTCTCAAAATAAAAAAAAGCAAACAACAAAAACACTTTTTTTAGGAAGTAATAAAAATGGGGGGCTCATCTCCCACTTTCCAACACAGTAGGGAAGACCGCCTGCAACTTGGATGGGTTGTGAGATGTGAGAACCGGTGCTTTCCAGGCAGCAGCAAGCGACCACAGAGCCTCTCGTATCTGATATGCACCGCGTCATTCGTGTGCTCTCATGAGCTGCCACGGAGGCGTCGGTTACTTCTAAGACTATCGACCGACGGTCAACTCTTTACAATTCAACATCTCTTTGGTAACATCTCACATCCAGATGCAAAAAAAAAAAAAACGCTTTGAAGTAGGCAGACTTGTGGAAAATACAGGATATTGCGTATCCCCGCACAAAATTAGAGATAGGGTCTTCCCTCGCGAACAACGCACGACCATTCCGTAGATCAGACACAGTCATTTCCGGTCATTTCAAATCCAGAGCCACCACTCGAACTTCGAGGTACGAAGTGTTGCCGAACAGCTAGGCGCCGGAGAGTACGCATGGGGTCGTGCAAGGGTGCTACGGCCATCTACGGCCAGGTGCGGGTACACTAGACGGGAGCATGGAAAATTTAACCTCGACGAGCGTAATACATCAAACAAAACGCAGCCGGCGCCCTACGCGAACACACACCAAGTTCAAACCAGCCGCTTAAGGAACTCTAGCTAAATAGTAGTTCCAATGGTGGCCACCAGATAGCGCTGAGTTCTTTCTCCTTTATAGCCTCACAACGCGGTCTAGTCGGCGCAACAGCAATGGCAATAGCAATGTAGCTTTACTGCTCTGCAAGGGGCGCGTCAAGTCAAACCGTCAAATCTTTTTAACAACGATTAACCACATTCCTTTTACGCTTTCTGTGGAAAATTGAATACACAGTATTACTGATAGAGTGGGGCACTAGGTTTCAGGTCGAGAGGGGCGTTTTGGGTGTAATTCAGAACAAACGTATTTAAATATTTAAATATTGGCGCCTTGTGAGTCCTTCGCCTTGTCCAACACAGACGACAAACAACAACACCGGTGGCGTCAACCTAACCTCTAAAGATTGTGACCAACTTGACAGGAGTCTCGTACTGTAAACATATAGTTCTGGTTTCTTTTCTTCTAATTACGACCCGGGCTGGCTTCGGATGAAATCCCAAGTTTAATTGAAGGTAGCGGGGAGACAAAGACAGCGAACTGTGGTTTCGTTCTTCTCCACCTTGGTCCACAATCTTTGTATCAGCCGATATGTTGTGAAATGCAGGGATAGTTTGCTTTAGTTCTTGTCAATACTTCATAATTCATCATGCCTCCCACTATTCAAGTTGGCGTGAACGCCGAACGAGAGAAGGTACCTGTCAGGCCCGGAGAGAGACGGTGAGTGGTACAGAAACAATAGCAGAAACTCATACTGCAGCTTCCTTTCAATCCTATTCAACTTTACATTGGCTTACTCTGTTTGAATGTTGTTGTTGCTCACAACATGCCTCTCTTTACAGTTCTGAGCTAGTATGCAGGGTGAAGTATTGTAATACGTTGCCTGATATTCCCTTCGATCCTAAGTTCATTCAGTACCCATTTGCGTCAACTCGGTAAGTTTTCCTCTATACTCATCTCGTGGAGTGTATGCTTGCACCTTCCTGTGGGAATTTTCATTTCTTTTCTTCTCTTCAGGTTTATTGAGTACAACCCAACATCATTAGAGCGCAACTATAAATATGAAGTTCTCACAGAACACGACTTAGGGGTGACCATAGATCTGATCAACAAAGATACCTATGCGTGTGAATTTGGTGCTGTTCTTGACCCTGCTGATGAAAAACTACTTGAGGAAGATGCCCCCACTTTGCAGGATTCCAAAAGGTAATTCAATCATTGCTAATCTTTTGTGCATTTCTTCTACCCTCCGTATTTTACGTATGATATATATTTTTGTAATCTAGGTCTCGCCATCATGCCAAAGCTGTGTCTTGGTTGCGACGTACGGAGTATATTTCTACTGAACAGACTCGCTTCCAGCCTCAGTCCATGGACAAGGTTGAGGCTAAGGTTGGATTCAGTATCAAGAAGGATATGAAGGTTTGTAATTTCCATAAGTATCCATTACTTTTTATTTAAAACTACTTATTTTAGATCTCTTATTAATCTATCTTGCATTTGTGCAACTTAGGAGGAGACTTTGGCCATGGATCGTGAAGCTCAAATCCGTGCCATTGAAAAGACCTTTGAAGATGCTAAAGTACCAATTGAGAAGCACTACAGTAAGCCTGGAGTTGTACCAGTTGAAATTCTGCCTGTCTTCCCAGATTTCAAGGTATGAGTTTTGATTATAAATATTGTGGGATGCATGTATGGCAGTTATTATTTTACAAAATTTTCTATGTGAGGATTTGCATCCTTCATTTAATTTTGTGCTTTCTTAAATTTTTTTAGGTTTGGAAGTACCCCTGTGCTCAAGTCATGTTTGACTCTGACCCAGCTCCTATTGGCCGGCCAGTTCCTGCACAGATAGAAATGATGTCCCAAGCCATGATTCGGTATGAAAACGTTTTTTTCATCCTGTCCATGTTTAGTGTGCTTTAACATCACTTGGCTAATTTTTAAAATTTTCTTCACAATCCCCAGTGGTGTCAAAGATGAAACAGGAGAACAGTTTGTGGCATATTTCTTGCCAACAGAAGAAACCCTTGAAAAACGTAAAGCAGACTTTATTGCTGAACGTGATTATCAGGATGAGGAAGAATATGAGTACAGAATGGCACGAGAATATAATTGGAATGTCAAGAGTAAGACTTCTGGCAAAGGATACGAGGAGAATTACTTCCTTGTTATGCGTCAGGATGGAATTTATTACAATGAATTAGAAACTCGGTGGGTACCACTCAAAATTTCAGTAACTCTGTCTCTAAGACACCAAGGAAATATCTAGACCTCTTAATTGGTGCTCTTAATCTTATCTTGTCTTGTTCTATTTTCTAGCGTTCGTCTCAGTAAACGTCGTCAAAAGGCGGGTTCAGCACCTAACAATACACGGTTGATTGTGCGACATTGCCCACTCTCAGCCCAAGAGTACAAAATGCAAAGATATCGGGAGCGTCAACTGGAACCTCCCAATGAGGAGGAGGAAGAGGAAGATGATGAAGAGGAGGAGGAGGAAGAGGGTAAGTTTTTACAAAGAATTTAAAATTCAATGAAAAAGTACAACTTGTATTCTAAGTAATTTACTTTTTTTCGTTTCATAGAACAAGCAGACAACACCCAAGAGAAAGGTGCCACAAGTGGAGGAGAGGGTCGCAAACGAAGTGATAGTGAGGGTAGCCAAACAAGTCGTGCCAGCCGACGCCGCAGCCGTTCTGGATCAAGTATGTCATCCCATTCTCATGTTCATTCAAAGTGCTTTGTAAATTTTTTTTTGCTCAACCGGTAATTTTTGTTTTCAGGAAGTGGAAGTGATGACGAGAAGGGATCAGCCCATTCCAGTTCTCGATCCGGCTCTGGATCCCGATCCCGATCTCGGTCGCGTTCCAAGTCTGGGTCGCGGTCCAGATCGAGGTCAAAGTCTGGGTCCAGATCTCGCTCAGGTTCTCGGTCCCGGTCGGGCTCCAGGTCGAGGTCAGGCTCCGAGAGCCCCAAGCGCAGTGCCACTGGCAGTCCCAAGAGCGCGAGGAGTGCAAGTGGCAGTCCGGCTAGGAGTCAGAAGAGTGGCAGCAGCAGGGGCAGCAGCCCCGCCAGAAGCAAGGGCAGTCCTAGTCCAGCACGCAGCGCCTCCCGCAGCCCAGCCAAGAGCAGGTCCAGGTCTAGGTCCAGGTCGGGCAGTGGCAGTGGGTCTGGAAGTGGCAGCGGGAGCGACAGTGGGTCGGGCAGTGCCAGTGGCAGCGATAGCGATTAGGATCAGAGTTCGTTTCTCTATCAAATCAACTTAGTCAAACCTCACTAGAAGGCACCCCTTTTAGCAGAGTTGCTGACTTGTGTGGCAGAACGGTCTTCTAGTGAGGCTTTGGCCGTCTCTGTATCGAAGGATAGATTTGTTCACCAATGTAAATGTGATAGAGACACTTTTCGAACTTGGATTTTCTTTCACCTGTCTTTCACATTGTTTTATGATCATCTTAATTATTTTCTGAGTTCACCATTTTACTCATCATTCCCTTATTAGAAAAGGAAAAGTGTACAATGAACTTCTAGCTTGACAAAGGGAAATGTCTCCTGAAAACTTACATTGTGTTTCTCGTAAGGAAAACAACCAGACAAATTCTGTAATTTCTTTTGTTTTGTTTTTTTAATAAAGAATAATAGACAAGTATACACAAATTATCTCCTTTTTATACCTCAGTTACTAATTGTCAAATGCTGGAGGGGTCAGCAAATGTTCAGGGAGTTTCTCCATTCGTACCTGAAAAATAAAATGATTTGAATCAAGTAATGCTTAACTAACACAGGGAGCACCTTCTTCTTATTCTCAGTACTCACCCGCCCAACTCTCATGGAAACACCCTCTGGCAAATTACGTTGGATATATTCCAGGAAAGTATCAGCAGTAGACCCAGTAAGTCTGACAACTCGAAGTGTGTGATGATAGGTGCGCACCTCATAAGTAACCATGTGCTTTCTATGCACATGTCGTGACTTCAATACAATCCATCTCTTCACACGATATTTGTTAGCTGGTTCACTGTATAGCCAATGTATAAATTTTTTTAAATCAGTCACAGGGCGCTATTAGTGAGAAAGCATCTCAATCACTACACATACCTATGCTCAATGTTGAGCTTTAAATGCTTGGCAGCTAAAACAATAAATGTGTTGTAGCTTCTAATTACAGCACGATCACCACATCTTATTTCAATCTCTATCATGTGGTACAGTGTGTCTGGCTCGGCAGCTTCCACTGGAGTTGTTTCAGTTCCTTGGACAGCCAATTTCTGTTTTGCCTGAAAAGTAAAAAAACAATTGAACAATGTGCAACACATAAAAACTTGAGCTAGTTACAAAAACTGACAGCAACTCACCTGTTCAGGAGTAGTAACGAAGCCTCTCGTTTGTTGAAGGCATGAGCGCAAAGCAGTGAACGCTTGAGGTTTCAAAGGCCCATTACAGATCGCAATAGATGCGCTCGTAGGAATCCTTGGCACCACATTTGAATTCCAATGGCGACCAAGAGACCTTACTGCTTGCTAAATTAATAAACAGAGTAACAATTGGTTGGTTATTGGAATGTTTGGTTTGGTTAGAAATATGTGAACTAGTAAGATTAAATTATGGAAAAGGTGAGCTGACTCAGATGAGATAGAACTATTCTTAAGCACTCCATTTGTTATTCAAATAAAATAATGTCAGTGCTCTTCCTAAAAAAGAAGATAAATACATAGGACGCTTTAACCTAAAAAGAAGTGTGGAGGCTCACGGTTCCTTAAAGTGTTTTGACAAACCAGTGGTTAGGTGGCCATGTCATGGTGTAAAATATGTATCAAACTACAAACCTTCACAGCAAACATCTTTAAATTCGACGAAACGAATTATGTCCGAAGGTCCCGAGACATAAGAGGGAATTTTAATCTGAACACAACTCTAGCAGACAGCCGTTTACTACAGAACAAGTGAGCTCTCATTGGCTGCGACTTGGTGGGAAATGGCGCGATTTTTTGAATGCAATTCAAATTTTCTTTCAAGGCAAACAAAGGGGAATTTGAATGAAAAAAAAATATAGACAGCTTTTCTTTTAAACATTTATTTAAAAATATAAAATAAAATCACAACAAAAGTAAACGAGATCACAAAAAAACCAGGCCTACAGTTCTTGCGGCCGGCGCAGAGAACATAAAGCAAGCGCGGATCCAGTAGAGGGGAAAAAGGACAATTGAACAACCTTGGCCTCTGGATAGCCACCTGGAAAGTAGGCACAAAGCCCACACTCTGCCCCTGAGAGTAGGCAAGAAGTAATACTTGGTGCCGCCTCAGACAGGCTGTGGATCCGCCACCGGAGCAGAGCTGTCGCCGCTGGGCCCCTAGAAGATGGGCCGGCTGAGGTCCGCCTGGTCGATGATGGAGCCTCGCCTGCACAGGATGGGCGGGTCCGCGGACTGGTACTGGACTTGGTACTGCACTGGCACCTGCAGCTGGAGGGCCAGCCTCCGCGGCGAGTCGACCAGCGAGGCGCTGGTGTGCCGGCGGCCCGTCGCCAGGCTGGGCACGAAGTGCGCGTCGCTGAAGGGCGCCCGGTCTCTCAGCTGCATCCTGAGGGAAGTCAAGCGCGTCAATAAGCTTCGAAACACGATGGCACCCACTTGATTTCTTTACAATGGAGGCATACCAAGTGTCCGTGGAGACGACGGAGTGGACCCTGGGCACGGGCACGCCGTTGAAGGTGCACGCCATGGCCACAGTGTAGGCGCCCGTGTTGTTGTACACCAGCCAGCTGCCCAGCTCCAGCTGCGGCAGCTTCACGTCGTCCTCCACCTTGTCGATGCCGTCGCACGTAGGGCCCCACACCGAGCTGGGGACGAGCTCGGCGCCGTCGTGGGGCTGCGGGGTAGAGCACGAAGCAGGTGGTACAGAGAGGGCACTTCCAGGGGAGTGACAAGGGCTTTCCGGAGATTCCCCTCACCTCCAGCGGCTCCCCGCGGAAGCGGCGCCGGTTGATGACGTCGAAGAAGGAGCCGTAGACGCCGTCGTTGATGTAGTACATGACGCCCTTGAGCTCGCCGGCGTCGCCGCGCACCTCGCGCTTGGAGTGCACGTTGGCGGCCAGCCTGAAGGCGGACGCCACGAAGTACAGCCCGGGCTCGGAGATGACGTCCACGTCCGCGGACGGGAAGTACTCGGCCACGGCCGAGTTGATGGCGTCCGCCATCTGGAGGAACACCTGCTCGTCGGCGGGCTCGCCGGGGTAGCCGCCGCCCACGTCGAGCAACTTCATGGTGCGGATGCCCAGGCCGGCGGCCGCGTCGAACACGAGCCTGGCGGCGCGGATGGCGGCGCGGTAGGCCTTCTGCTCGCGGCAGCCCGACCCCACGTGGAAGCTGACGCCCACCACCTGCAGGCCCAGGTCGCGCGCCGTCCGCAGCAGGCGCGGCGCCTCGCGCTCCGCGTCGCAGCCGAACTTGACGCCCAGGCACACCATGGCGTCCTCGGCGTCGCTGCGGATGCGCAGCACCAGCTTGCACTTGGGGTGCAGCGCGCGGATCTTGTACAGCTCCTCCTCGTTGTCGAACGTGGCCAGGTTGACGCCGCAGCCCGCCGCGTACCGGATGTGGGTGGCCGGCTTGGCGGGGTGCGCGAAGATGATCCTGCTCGGGTCCACGCCCAGGCTCAGCACCTCCTCGATCTCGCCCTGCAAGCCGGTCCCTTGGGTAACACTTTGGGGTGCGAGAGAGACGGAGCGACGCGTGTGCTGGCCTCGGCCTCGGCCTCCACGGCGCTCACCTTGGTGGCGCAGTCGAAGCCCGCCCCCAGCGCGGCCAGCGTGCTGAGCACCACGCGGCTGGCGTTGCACTTGACGGCGTAGTGCGGCCGGACGCGGGGCAGCAGCTGGCGCCACAGCTGCATCTTGTGCACGATGTCGTCCACGTCGCACAGGTAGAACGCGTCCTCCTGGCCCGTCGTGTGGCACACGGCGCGGAGCTCGTCCAGCACCGAGTGCTTCGGCCCCAGGACGTGCACGTAGTCCTCCGGCTCGATCAGGCCCTGCATGGTGGTCTCGGTGGAGCTGCGTACGCTGCGCACCGATTCAGTCATTCATTCGTCTATCCATTCATCCAGCCCCATTGACTGCCGTTCGCAAGGCCGGCCTCGCTGCCGTGCTTACGTTTCAGTGTCGCGGTGCCCGCCCTTTCCTTCACTTCGCGGTGCCCTTGGCGTGCTGCTGCCGCTGCCGCTGCTGTCGTAGTGCTGCGCCCAGGCCTGCCCAGGTTGTGCTGCGGGGTGCAGCCGCGCCGCCGCCTTTTGTACCGCAGCCCCTCTGCAGCCCGCGCCGCCGCGCCGCCGCACTGTACGCCTGGTGCGCCCCAGCTAATCCTCCTAGGATTGGTTAACTAAACTCGCATCCCGCGTAATCGCACCGCATGCCGCCCCCCTGGCACGCCCTGGCGGGGCGGGGCGGGGCGCTGCGCCCGACGACCCCGCCGTGTTGATCAAAGAGGCGGATGACGTAACGCCAACGACGCTCCTCGTGTGTGCGTGTGTGTGCGTGCGCGTGCACTCGTGTTATGTGCCGGAGGGGAGGGCAAGGGCGTGCATGCGGCCAGCGTCCGCTTTTCTCCTCACCGTGCGACACCATACTCTATTCGATAGAGACGACTTGCAATGCAAGGCTGTCATACTAAAAGTCGGAAAAATCGGGTTGACTTTGGAGAGAAGGGGTTGGGGGGGGGGGGCTGGAAAGGGGAAGGGGGGCAGGGAGGGAGAAGGGAGGGGGGGGGGCGAAGCGTGTCATTCATCGCGCGCGGCCTGCACCGCCTGCAGTCCGGATTATCCCGGCAAGAAAAACAACAATAAGGAAGCGAGGCGCGCGACAAAGACCAGGGCCGGATTACGGATGCGGCCTGCGGGGCCTGCGGCTCGGTGGATGTGGATGGCTGGGTGCAGCGTCGTTGTTGCGAGACTGCTTTACGAGGACGCATAGCGTCGCAGCGTCGCGACGAAAACAACGAAACCACCAACAATAAAGGACGTCATGACGCTGGCGACGTCGCCGTCGGTGAACTGATTGACGGGGGAAGGACGCGTCGCCGTCGGGGACCTCAATCAGGGCCTTGGTCGCCTCTGCCGGGGTTTAATTGCCAACTGGACAGACTGACGGCGTGGCGGTGGCTGAGTCCACGGAGTCCACGCATTGCGGAGTCCTGATTCAGCCCAATGACACTTTCGTCAGTTGTCGGCCAGAGGAGGACGAACTTGGTGTGTTGTGGCGCCACTGTCATCGCCGCGCCTGGAGTCGGCGGCCCTGGGCGGCCCTTGGTAGGCTTCTCCCCTCACCGCTTCCTGCCCGCCCCCGCCCTGTGCGGCTGTCGATCTGTCTCTCTCGCACTCACGGAACGTTCCGTACAGGTGCAGTAGAGACAGACCGACGGCCGCACCTCGCGGGGCGCAGCCCTTGGCTTGGCCCTCGGCGCAGCCTGTTTACGGAAGACTCGCGCGCCGCCGTGTCCCGGCCCGTCCCGCGTCCCGGGCGAGGGGGGCAGGGGGCAGGGAGGGAGGAAAACAGGAGGGCTTACGGGGGGAGGGGGAGCGCTTGCCTTTTTATCTGTCGTCACGACTAACCTAACCTCCCGCCTCGCCAAACAATGGCCGCGCGCTGTGCGCCACAATATTTTTGTTTTTTGTTGACTTCGCGCGGCCCGGGTCGCGACTTTGTCGCCCCCGAATTCATCGACTTCTTCTTCCTCCTCCTCGTCCTCTTTCTTCTTCTCCTCCTTCTTCTGCCAAGATCGGTGCGGTGGTGGCGACGGTGGCCGCAAGGTGGTTGTCCCGGGTGCCAACGGCCCATGCCCCGGCTGCTGCGGGTGTATTCGCACGCCACGCCAGACGCCACCTCGCGGTCACGGAGCGCCCTCTCGAGTGCGACAGAGACAGAGCTACTTACTGGTCGGAATCAGTCTGCGGAGGAAATATGGAGCTGTTATCGGTCCGTCACTGGTCATCGGACCGACCGCGGCAGGCAGATGACCCCCCCCCCCCCCCCCCCCGTCCGACTCCGCGACGCGCCTTGCCCCGCGGATGAACGCAATGAGGCAAGGCCAGGCAAGGCTGCCAACAATTAAGACGACTTTAGCGACGTCATCGGAAGTGTGTCAGGGCTCGTTCCTAGTTCCAAGACGGCTTCTCGAAAGGGGGCAGCTCGTGACTGGGTATTCTGGGTGGTGGCGACTGCGTACTGCGTCGTCATCCATGTCACGAGTCTTGACTTTGCCCGCTACGCCTGCTACGCTTAAGGATTCCGCTCAGGTTGCTAGGCAACCGCAGCAGAGGAGACGAGGAGACGAGGCGGTCGAGCTATATCGGGTCCAAGCTCTGTTATATCTGTGTTTGTTCTGCTGTTTGCACTCTGGGCCCGAGGCCTGCCCGCATCCACCGACTCTAATTCTCTCACCTTGGCCAGGCGCGCGAAGGGTTGCCTACGCGCCGGGCGCCCCCAGCCCCGCCAGCCTCGCCTTCCGCTCCGCCAATCTCAAATCCTCGGCCCCGGCTCGGGTTTATCTCTGGGATTAACTCCGGCCGACTCTCGAGACGAGGGCCGGGCGGATAGTCGCAGAATAGGACAGCGTCGTTTCCGGACCGGTGCGCCGTCGCGCTGCCCTCTGCGCTGCCTCTGCGCCCCGCGACACCCAGCCTCACCGGGCCTCGCCGCCAACTTGGCCTGCTCCTGGCGCTCCTGGGCCTGCGCCTGGACGGGAGGCGCCTGCATGCAGCACCGTCCCTCTGCTTGCTGAGTGAGTATAGAGCGCTGCGAACTGAGCTGTGTATGCACAGGCCGGCATGGCTCAGCCCACCTGGAGCAGGCCCGCGTGTACACTTCAACGAGAGTGTGATGCACTTTGTTGTGCTTGGCAGTGTGACTGACCGAGCCAGCACACTGCAAGGCACTCGCTTAAGAATAACGCGTATGCCGAGCACACGCCGAGGAGCAGTGTGCACCCACGCACGCTGCTCTTTGAACTGTGCATTAGAGTGTGCCATGCACACAGTTCAGTCGGTAGCACGAGTAGGTAGTGACGCACAGCCTCTTGAGCAAGTGCAACTGATTGCGGTCTACTATCGCACACCGCGAAAGATACGAACTCGTCGAAAACTGTGAACGAGTTTCCCTGAATGAAAGGACCTCATGTTTGAGTCGGCCTCGACGCGTGGGTGGTCGGCGGGCCTCACCGAGAGCGAAACCCAATCCGTCGTCCCAATTGCGACGTCCTGGAGTAGGAAGGAGCTTTGCAGCCTAGAAAGGGTCTAAATTGAGTGTCGGGTAACGCGACGCTGGTTGGCCACCCTGCCAAAGCGCGATGCTGGCGTGCCGAAGCAAGCCGTCTTCTTTCCTTTCCTCGTCGTTACTTCGTTACGCAAGCGACGCAAGCGACGCGAGCGGCCAGTGCTCTGGCGCTGTGGAGGCCGCCTTAGCCTTCCGAGCGCGCCGCGCGCTGCGCTGGCTAGCCTGGCCTCTCTTGGCATCCGATACGAGTCCCACCGGAGTCGCGGGCTGCCAACCACCGCTAAGGAGAGCCTTTTAGTCATACCACTCGCCAAAAGTCGAAACTCTTTGAGCAGTATTCGAGCCCAGGACCGCCGCGCCCGTCCGCGTAGCAGGACGCATTGCACAGGGATTAGCGCGCTCGCAGCTCGCACGGTGGTGACAGGGCGTCCGCTCCACTCTTGGCTGCCTCCTCTCGAACACTCTGCTGCTGGCACTGGCCGAGGCCCTTTGGACAACCTCATAGGGCGAGAGGTGACGTGACGTCATCGCGCTCTTATTGGTTGGTCCAGCCCAGCGAGCGTTGTGATTGGTTAGTCCGGCCAGAGTGGCCCCTCTCCCTTCGAGGCTCTAGGCCCTGGCCGTGCACCGTGCTCTGCAGGAGGTCGCCCAGGTTGCCGGCTGCAGGGACCGCGGTGCGGCCAGGAAGGAGGGAAAGGGGGAGGGGAGGGGTCAGTGTCCGGCGGCGCAGCGGCCGGCCCGGCCCGCGCCTCCAGCGCTGCCAACCACACGGCCGGATGGACGACGCGGTGACCCGGCCTAGTGCATGCCGACGCGGCGTTGAAGCAGGTGGTGTGCCCGCCAGTGTACTAGTCGTGCGCCTGGAACGCACGCGATACGAGTCGATCGCCGCGGTTTTCTCCAAGTCGCGTGCAACAGTTGGCAGCAGTGCTTTCGGGCGAGCGGCGAGGGCCGCGGGTGGCGGCGCGGCGGGGCTGAGGCCCACTGAGGCCGGCCGGCCGGTCACTCGACCAGTCGAGTCTTACAGCACCGCTGGCCGCAGACCACAGGGCAGTTCTGCATTGGCGTCCCGGTAGAGCGCGTCGTCGTGCATGTGTGTGTGCGTGTGTGTGTGACGCCGCGACCGGCATGGGGAGCTAACGCGCGCGAGTGCTGCAAGTAGGCGAAGTGGAGTCCGAGAGCATGGACCTCCCCCAGGATTAGACAGCGACTCCTTGTTCCAGTCTCCGGAGACGACGGCCAGCATGCTGGAGCCGGCCGCGCCGCGCCGCCTGGCGGCAGCCTTGGGCGGAAGGGCCACCCAGCACCTCGCCGCGGCCATCGGTAAGTTGAGGAGGGCGCCGGGACTCGAACCCGCGCCCGCGGTGAAGCCCGCGGTGACCCCCCTTCGCTTTTGCCGCAGCGTCGCTGCTGGCGCTGAGCAGCGGCATGTCCCTGGGGTGGACCTCCGCGGCCGCCGCGGTGGAGTTCGGCGCGCAGGGCTTCGTGCTCACGACCGAGGAGTGGTCGTGGGTGGGCGCCGCGCTGACCCTGGGCGCCATGGTGGGCTCGCTGCTCGTCGGCGTGCTGCTGCGGCCGCTCGGCCCGCGCACCGAGTGCCTGGGGCTGGCCCCCATCTTCTGCGCCGGGTGGGCGCTGCACGCCTGGGCCACCAACGTACGTCCAACAGTGTGTCCATCGCTTGAAAATAATGACAATTTCACTACAAACGGAGGCCTTTTTCACCAAAGCTCCTATATCATTATTGCATTCGGCGTGATAACAGTGTCATCAACAAGTTTGATGAAAGTCTTGTGAGCAAAATGAGCCTGGACATCGTCATGAACTGACAACAACAAACAGTGAGGTGGAGGTGTCCGGGACTGACTGCTGACTGTGTAGGTGTGGATGCTGGTGCTGGGCCGCACACTGGTGGGGCTGTGCTTCGGCGCCACGTGCGTGCTGGTGCCCATCTTCACGTCCGAGGTGGGCGAGAGCGCGGTGCGCGGCGCGCTGGGCAGCTACGTGGAGCTCTTCGTCTGCATCGGCGTGCTGGTCGTGTACCTCCTGGGCGCCTACGTGAGTCTCTAGTCAAGTCGAGTCTGTGAACTTACAGTGGGCCAAAAGACAGGTGGAGGCGGTCAAAATCCCGGACGCATTTTGAGCTCCAGAGTCGCTGAATGGCACACAAACCGAACGTGTGACCCCACCAATAGATTGCTCTCCGAGCGAGAAATCCATTGATGGGGTCACACGTTTGGTTCGAGTCCTGTCTAGCGACTCCGGAGCTCGAAACGCTTCCAGGGTTTCGGCCGCGAGCGCCTGCGAGGGTAGGCAGCCCGAGTCTTTGCGTGCACGCGTGTGTCACGGGCTGGCCTACCCTGCCCGCCCGCAGGCGCTCGGTGAACTGAGGGCGTATGTGTGTTCTCCGCGCAGCTGCCGCTGCTGTGGCTCAACGTGTGCTGCCTGGCGGTGCCGGTGGCCTTCGCGCTGCTCTTCGTGTGGCTGCCGGACTCGCCGCGGTGGCTGCTGGGCCGGCCCGGCCGCCGCGAGGAGGCGCGCCAGGCCCTGGCCTTCTACCGCGGCCTGGACCCACTGGACCTGAGCGGCGTGGACGCCGAACTGGACGAGCTGGAGGTGGCCCTGAAGACGTACGCCGAGGAGGCGCGCGGCGTGTCGCTGGCGTCGGCCTTCAGTTCCAGGGCGACGCGGCGCGGCATGGGGCTCGCCGTGGGCGCCATGGTGCTGCAGCAGGTGTCGGGCATCGACGGCGTCACCTTCTACGCCAGCCAGTTGTTCAGGGTGAGCCTCGCTGCCTTCACCAAGTTTGACCGTATCAACGCTTGTTTCCTCGTCGTCGGGGACGAGGTCGGTGGGCTGCCTACCCCTCGGCGGACGAGAAGCGTCACGTTATCGCCTGGGAGGCAAGCAGCCCAACTCTCACCTCTGGCCGACCAAGAAAATTAAACATCTTATTGTGTCTGCGCTCTGTTTTTGATCATCTCGGTCGCCCAATGTACTTTGCTCACTATCCTGCCAATTTTCAGGATGCTGGTACTCTGTTCGTGACCGCGGACGAGGCCACCTTGGTCATGGCCTCGGCGCAGATCGTCTTCTGCCTCGTCGCTCTGCTGGTGGTGGACCGCCTGGGCAGAAAGATGCTCCTGATGACCTCCGCCGGCATCATGGGGCTGTGCTCCCTCGCCATGGGCTTCTACTTCTACCTCAACGTGAGCAGCATTCAGACGTGTACTTTAAATCGCCTTTCCAAAGCACTGCTTGACGGCGGCCTTGTTGTTGCAGCGCGGCGCGGCGCGCGACCGCACGCTGGACTGGGTGCCGGTGCTCGTGTCGTGCGTCTACATGATGGGCTTCTCGGTGGGCCTGGGCCCCGTGGCCTGGCTGTACGTCGGCGAGATCTTCCCGGACCGCGTCAAGGGCGTGGCCTCCTCGGTGGCCAACGCGTCCAACTGGGTGTGCGCCTTCCTCGTCACCAAGTTCTTCCCCATCGTCAACGAGAGCCTCGGCGTGCAGGTGTCCTTCTGGGCGTTCGGCGCGTGCTGCCTGGTGGGCGTCGCCGCCGTGGGCCTGCTGTTCCCCGAGACCAAGGGCAAGACGCTGGACCAGATCCAGGAGGAGCTGAGCGGCGCGAAGGACAAGCTCGGCGAGACGGACAACGCCGGCAACACGGCGCGCCGGAAGTACGGCTCGTTCGACGACTCGGGGGCCCGCAAACACTGACACGTGTTGGCGGGCGTGGCTGCAGAGTGAATCTCAGACGTGCTGGAGATCGTGATTTAATGAAGTACAAATGGAAGTGTGACGAAAAAATAATAAAATCACTCAACAAATTTATGAAAGTTTACATTTACACGGGCAGTACAAAAAGAAATCGAGACACGTTTGGGATCGCGGCGTGCGCGGCGTGCGCGGCGTGTCAGTCCGGGCCGACGGGCCGCTTCGTCGGCAAGCGCTCCCTAGAGTCGGCCTGGAAGGCCTGCAAGCAGAGACAGGGCTAGTCGCGTCGGCTCTCTCACAGGGACGTGCGGTGGATCCGAGGCTGGATCTGAGTGTCCACCTGGGACGACGCGATGTAGCCCACCTCGTCCTCCTCTTGCTCCGTCCAGAAGTCGTACTTGTGCTTCTCCGGGAAGGACAGCACGGCGGGCCTCACGAAGCCCGTCTTGGCCGAGGAGGCGACGAGCAGGAAGGCGAGGGCCGCCACACTGTGGGGCAGCAGCAGCACCGGCAGCCCGCACTGGCGGTGCAGAGAGGCGAGGCGCCGAGTTCAGTCTATCAGTCGGGATTGCCGCCGGGGGCGGATCCAGGAGAAAGGGTGAGGGGGGGGGGGGTAATTGCCCCTCGGGTACCGCAAGAACTGCCGTCCCCCTAAAGAAAACCCTGGATCCGCGCCTGTTGGGCGTCCGGGGGACGGTGGTCGATCACTCACCATCCTGAGGGGCGGCTCGACGGCGGCCTGCAGCCCGGCGGTGAGGCAGACGCAGGCCACGCCGGCGGCGAGGCTGTGCCAGGACACGACGAACGAGTGCGCCGTCACGGCCCACATGCTGAGCAGCCCGTTGACGCCCCACAGCCCGCGGTACACCGCCGTGAAGGGCGGGTCCAGCAGCACCACGCCTGGGGGCAAGCCGCACGTCTTGCTGCGTTCTACTTTGCCTCGGTGGCTACCAGTGTACGGGACGTACCGGCCATGCTGCCGAGAAAAGCGCCCGCCAGCGCGGTGCACGCGGCCGCGGGGGAGAACAGCAGCAGGGCGATGTAGACCGCGGCGGACACGGCGGGGTCCTCCAGGGCCACGACCTGCGACGCGGACACCAGCACGCCCTGGAACATCTGCACCGCGACGCGTTTGGTTATGCCGCACTTGCCATGCCCGACGCCCAAAGCCGACTTGGCTGACCTGCCCCCAGTCCAGGTGGTCGATGTCGTAGAACTCGCGCACCCTCGTCACGTTCACGTCAACGTCCTCGGCCGGAGCGGGCGTTGGGTTGAGCGTGGCGTTGTGGTGCGTGGCGTTGTGGTGCGTGGCGTTGACGGCGAGCACGTCGGCTTCGATGAAGGCCGGGGCGGCGGGCCGCAGCGCCAGCCCGTCTTGGGAGTGCAGCAGGCACAGGAACAGCACCAGCTGGAAGAGACGCGCATTTTGGCGAGGTGTGTACACCGCAGGTAACCAGGCAACGTCTAGCGGGGGACTGTACCTGCAGGAGGCCGTACGGCAGTGCGAACAGCGGCGGCCATGGCCCCTTGCCCGGCGCCGGCGTCCCCGCGGACTCCTCGTCGCCCTCCTCGTGACCGCGGCCTCGACGGCGAGGTCGGCCGCCGCCCCACCACGCCGGCGGCAGCACGGCCGAGACCAGGGTGCTGAAGGACGAGGTGACGTACACGCTGCGGACCAGGACCACGGGGTGCTTTGCTTGCATGCGGACCGTTTCCCCCACCCGCCCGCGGCAGCGCTGCAGCATGGCGCTCACCACTCTCTCCGCACGCGGAGTGTTAATTTTGACAGAAAGCCGTTAAAGGGCGAAAGTAATCCGGGGCCAGCCAGCCAAGGAAGCAGGAGGCAGGCCAACTAAAGGCCCAACTCTAAGATAGAGGATCCTCCGCCAGGTTGGTGGCCTCGATGGTGGCACTGACCTGACGACGGCCCCCACGGTGAGCAGCGTCCACACGCGGCCGTTGAGCGCCTCGGGCTGCAGCAGGCTGACGGTGGCCGCCCCCAACAACGCCGCCGCGCAGCTCGCCATCCCCGCGCTCACGGCGGCGCGCTGCTGCCCCGCGGCCTGCGCCAGAACCACGGTGATTCGACACTATCTCTCTCTCTCTCTCTCTCTCTCTCTCTCTCTCTCTCTCTCTCTCTCTCTCTCTCTCTCTCTCTCTCTCTCTCGCACTCTTACAGGAAGCCCTCTGAGTGCGAGAGAGACAGAGCAACGACACGCTGCTCGGAATGAGGCTGCTGTCTGACAGGCTGACGGGTGCTTACGGCGGCCACGAGGACGGCGATGGAGGCGCAGGTGATGGCGGCGAGCCCGGCCCACGGCTGCACGGCGCACAGCGCTGTCAGGAGCACGGCGCCGCTCACGGGGTTGTTGGCCAGGACCAGCTGCGGACACGAGGGGTAGAAGAAGAAGGGGTCGACGGGGACCACCGGAGTCGCGGCCTGCTGGTACCTGGCCGAAGGACCTGAGCAGCGCGTCGAAGAACATGACGATGACCCAGCCCGTGGACGTGGACCTGGTCTCCAGGTAGGCAGCCACCGCGCCGCAGTCGCCGACATAGTGCAGCCAGTTGCCGTCCCTCTGGGGATGCACGACGGACAGCGTTAAGGCCGCGGGCATCAGGGGTTGGGCGGCAAGGGACGTCCGTCCCGAGGACCGAAACAGGAAACAAGCCGGCCAAATGTCGAGCTCGATGGACGCAACTCACCGGCACTCCGAACCTCCTGTTGTCCGACATGTTGAACGGCTGCTGGTCCACTGGCTCTGCCTCCGCCGCGGTGCGACAATCCCCCCACCCTTCGGCTCGCCTGTGCCCTGCTCGAGCACTGCAGGCAGGAAGCCCGCTAGATCATTAGCACATTCAAGTTGACTACTTTGAAAAAAAAAAAAAAAGTTCAAAACGACAGTACAGTTCACCGCCGATTTTTGTCAAGCTTCTGCGGTCCACTTTTTGACCCAGCTCCGAATAGCAGTGATTTTATGAGTACAGCTGCTGCTGCTGGCCGACGGGCAGCTTAAGAAGCTCCTGTAACTGAGCGCACTCCTTCAGTCCTTCCCTCTTCCCCTTCATCCCATTTTATGCTTTGGGTGTTGTGGTCATTGAGCAAATAAACAAACGAATGGATAAATGATAGTAGTTTATTCATGTAGTTCCAATTTTGTAACATGGCATTTGTGCACACATGTGTTAAAAATGGTGCTATTAAAAAAGGAAGGTAAATATAACAGGTTGTAAATTCGTTTTGAGCATTAATGAGAGTTTGATGAGGTGGTGTGGCCTGTGGTCAAAAGCACGGAAATTCTTAAAATCACCTTTTTGGCAAACACATATAATCTCTTATGCTAATTTAAATGGTGTTGTGGTACAAGTAATTATAATTATTACATACATAAATCATGATGTAGTAAAAAAAATTGAATTGACTAACACTCCTACTGGGAAACAGATCTGTTCATGACAAAAATCGAGTTTTTAAGAGTGTGCTTTTTTTCAAACTGTAACTACAGTATCCTGATCATTTTTTATTGTAGCTTAACATATGGGTTATATCAGACACAAAAGGAATGAAATCTCAACCGTATAAACAATTTCCATCAGTATCATACAAAAATTTCTTGCACTCATAAAACAGAATTAAGCACTTCACAATCAGACTAACAATATTGATTTTCTATTGAGCACAGCTCAACAAAGCAACAACACTACCAGAACAACTAGCTTTACTTTATGTCACTTCCTGACTAGATGGTAAGGCACCATGTGGGTTCCGCCTGAAAAAGCTTCCAACACACTTGATGCAATATGAGACATTTCCTTCATCTGTTTCGTCTACATTTCGTGTCTGCAGGTTTCTTTAATGTAAAAATTGTTAATGATAGTGTCACATTCAAAAGTGTAAATTGACTAGAATTTTCCTATTAAAAATAAGATGGAACCAATCTACCATGCATACTTAATAAATAATACTCTATGACAGCGTGAGTATGACTCCAAAACCAAACACATCAAAAAATCAACAGGTGAATGAACTTCATCTTAAAGAATTTAGTATAGCTGTGGATTTTGGCACAAAGCCTTTACTTTTCATTTGTTTAAGGCAGTTCACACGTTAAGCTGCTGTAAGCCAATTAATGCTAATATTTTGCCCTACCCATAATCACAAACGTACCCATTTCAGTCCAGGCAAGATGGCATTCTGTAGTACCAACTTGATTATATTATAGAAACGCAACCAACAAATAAAATTCTTAGAGGGTTAACACACAATACATTAATCAGGACATTCACTCCACATTCACACATAAATAATACTTACAACACTAACATATTTCTCCCTATATGCATCTGTCATGCAGAATATTGCTTATAATGCTACGCCACAAAGGCAGCAAAAGGACGTTTTACGATATTTTACAATAAATACTAGGGTCAACTGCTGTAGATTAGCAGCCTGGCAACTTTTGGAAAATATATAGAACTCCAAACTTGTTAATATAGAGGACAAATGCATGAGCATGTGTAAAAATGTGCTGAGGATCAAACAAAATAAAAATAAATAAAAGTTACAAGAAATCATAGAAGATGTATCAATTAACCTACCCTCAAAGAACACTGGAAAATCAGTAGCAAACATTTACGGGTATCATTGTAACTACGTTGATTAAACATATTTTATACAAAAAGTAAAAGTTGAGAATGAACATGAAAAATTTCAGGTGGTGCTTTAAAAATGAAAAAAGATAGGAGTTTTCTTACAGTGTTTCAATGCACTCAAAACATAGAAATAGCAAGACATCAATTTAGCAGGTCATTCAGGTAAATAAATTACATTGTCGGAATACAAACTAGGACAACAAGAAATTAGCCTCTTGGCACTTAAAATTGTTAAATACAAGTGATCTGCAGACTTGTCACGAGTTATGACTGTGCCTGTAGTAGTGGTTCATACATTTACGGTAAAAAACAATAATTTGTTGTTTACAGTGTTGCTTAAAAAACATCATCTCTGTACACTAAATAGTTCCATTTACAATTTGAGCGAATGGTTGTTTCCTTTCATCCCCTCCCACGTCGATGGGGGGTTCGAGGGGACGTCCAACGCGAAACCAACTCAGCCTCCTCTCCTCAGTCAAACGACAGCTTCTCCTTCTCCGCCTCGTCCTCATCCTGCTGCTCCTCGTCCTTCGTCTCCTCGCTGATCGTCGACGGCATCACCTCGGCGTCGGCAGGGTTGGCGTTCTCGGGCCCCATCACCTCCCTCAGCAGCCCCCACAGCGGGTTGCGCTCCGCGGCGCCGTGCGCGCCGTGCGCCCCGGCCTGGGTGCCGGTGGCCGGCTGCTGCGTCGTCGCGTCGGTGTCCGGGACGACGGGGTGCTCCGGCTGCCCGGCCGCCTGCACCGGGGTGTTGATGTTGATGGCGGCGGAGTGCACCGGCCACGCTTTCTTGCGGTCCACCCCACCCGCCGGCACCTTTTTCTTCAAGGGGTTCTTGCTGACGGCGGGAGACGCCGACGCCGACGCCTCTGTGGACGTCGGCTTGGGGACGACGGCGGGCGTCGCGGTGCTGGCCACGCGGCTAGGCTGCTGTGGTGGTGACTGCTTCGGCACGATGGGAGTGGAGTGCTTCACGGGGGTCCTCGTCGTGCTGGCAACGTGGTCGCTGTGGGGGTCGCTTGGCTTCGTCGCGGGAAGCACCTCCACTGCCACTGGCACTGGCACTCCTTGCGGCACTGCCACTGACTGTGCAGCCGGCGCCCGAGGAGCGACGGTCTGAGAGACTGGTGCAGGCGAGGGCCGCACGGTCGGCTGCGCTGTGGGTCGCTGAGAAGGCCTGGCCGCTGGTTGTGGAGAGGGTCGTGCAGGTGGCTCTTCAGTAGGAAGTGCAGATGGTTGTGGCGCCGGCTGTTCTGTAGGAAGTGCAGACGGTTGTGGTGCCGGCTGTTCAGTTGGCAGTGCAGATTGTTTTGGAGCCGGCTGTTCAGTTGGCAGTGCAGATGGTTTTGGAGCCGGCTGTTCTGTTGTAAGTGCAGATGGTTTTGGAGCCGGCTGTTCTGTTGGTTTGGGCAAAGGCCTTGGTGCCGGTTGAGGCGCGGCTTGTGCGGCTGGCTGCGCTGCGAGTTGAGTGCGTGCCTCCGCCCTCGGCGCCGCCTGGTGGTGGTAGTGCATGCTGGCGGGGGCGGCCTGGGCGGCCTGGGCGGCCTTGCCCCTCATCGGCGCCCTGATGGTGGTGGACGTGAGGTGCGCCACGTTGGTGGCCCTGCCTCGCGGCGGCATGGGGGTCTTGGCGGTGCTGTGCGGCTTCTCGTCGGGCAGCAGCTGCAGCTCGAGGGCCTCGTTGGCGTCGTGCTGGTGCGCGCGGTTGATCTCGTAGTGCAGGTCGGGCAGGGCGCTGACGGGCTGCGGCGTCCTGGCGGGGTCGCGGCCCACGGAGGCGGCGGCGGCCTTGTGCGCGGGGAGGGCGGGCCGCGGCGTGGACGACGGCGCGGAGGACGGCGATGGCGGGGTGGTCGACGCGCCAGCTTCGGTCGTCGGGGTGCTCTGCGCCACGTCCACGGTCGTCAGGTCCTCCTCCGTGGTCGTCGTGGACGATGCTGCTTCGGCGGTGGGCGTCGCCACGGCCTGCACTGGCGTGGTCCGCGCGCGGCTGGCCGGCGTGGCCGCGTCACTGGAACACTTCTTGCCGCACTCGCAGATGCCCTTGAAGCTGGAGCTCATCGGTGTCTCGCCTGTAACAAACGGCTCGGTTGAAGTTCGGTCGTCCTCGCGCAGTTCAAGAAGGACACTGGTAAAACTAAAGCGGAGTGTCACACTCTGTTTTCGAGCGGAACCCATATCAAGGAGTGTAGCAGGCTCATCCGTTCAGATTCCCCCCATATAAATGCATGGGGAATTCCTTTTCTATGCTTCATTTCAAGTGAAACGTCTCCAAAGCGTAACCTTCTACCCGACTCGAGCATACAACTGCGCTTTAGTTTTACCAGTGGACACGATCGGGAGAAGGAGGCACTCACCAGCGTCCTCGGAGCGGCCGAACCAGGTGACGATGTCGTCCTCCGTGATGCCGGTGAGCAGTGTGCTGCCGCGGTGCGTGTGGAAGAAGGTCTCGGACGCCAGGTCGGAGCGCGCCGCGGGGTAGACGCGCGCGAAGGCGGGCCGCAGCCCGGAGATGACGTGCGAGCTGCGCGCCGCGAAGTGCACGCACACCGCGCACCGCGAGCTCACCTGCGGCAGGGGCAGTTTGGTCAGTGTTGGTGACAAAGACAAAGGCCCGAAGGCAACACTGAGACGCTCCACGCTACTCACGTTGTTCATGACGACCCAGACGCGGTCGCCGCGCGCGCCGTGGTGCACGTCCGTCTCGTTGCCGGTGTCGTCCACGGAGATGCCGTTCATGGCCAGCAGCTCGAAGCCCGAGAACAGCGTCACGTCCAGGCGAAGCACCCCGGACGGCCGCGCCCCCTTCCACCTGCAGCAGCGGCACGCCGTCAGTCCAAGCCACGCCAAGCAGAGGAGGCTCACCCTGGCATCCGCCGCGCCAGCAAGCCGGCCTACCTGAAGCAGGTCTTGAGGCGCAGGATGGGCTGCTTGCCCTCCAGCTCCTCCAGGGAGTTCCGCGGCGGCGGGATCTCGTCCTCCACGCCGGCCCACAGGTCGAGCAGCGGGGTGCTGCTGCGCGGCAGGTACGTCGAGTACTGCACCAGGCCCTGCACCGTGGCGCAGCCCGCGCCCGTCGCGTACACGAACACCTTGGTGGGCAGGCTGGGCAGGGCGAGCGAGGCGGGCGGCGAGCCTGGCCGCAGCTCCAGGGTGTCGGTCAGCTCCATGCCGGAGGTGGCCAGCGACACGGTGAGCGAGCGGTGCTCGTCGCGTGCCAGCTGCCCGAACGCCGAGAAGGCCTTCACGGAGAGGTACGTCAGCTGCGACAGGAATGTTGTGTTAATTCGTTGGACACTTTTAAAATTCGTTGCGACAGGTTTGGTGGATAGTCCTACCTCGGGGTGGATGTCCAGAAGGTGTGCTCTGTAGAACAGATACCTGGCCACCGGCTCGGCGGCGCTGAGGTCTCGCCGGTAGGAGTACGTCAGCAGGGCGTAGAGCGAGGCGCGGAATTCACGCACGTTCACTGCAACACAAGGGCGGCGGTCAGCTTCGGCCTGCTCCAGGACGTGACAGACTGACAAACTGACAGACGGACACTCACGGCGCAGAGGGTCGCGGCGGCGCGAGGACGAGTCCTGCTGCAGCGCGTCGTCGGCCAGCCAGTCCGCGCCCGACCGTCCGCCGCCCGGCTGCTGCTCCGGGTCCTGCTGCTGCACTGGCCACGAGAAGTCGCCCTCCTGGTTGACGGACGCGGCGCGCATGCGGGCCAGCGCGGCCCCCGCCACGTCGGAGCGCGACCGCACCAGCGCCAGGCACAGCGCGGCCAGCGCCACGGGGCCGCGCGGCGCGAACATGTGCCGCTCCAGGAAGTAGCGCGCGCGCACCACGGCCTCGGAGTCGCGCTGCGGGGAAGAACAACGCCGTCAGCGAGACGTTAGCACAGACGTGGATCCAAGGAGGGGCTTTCCTTTCTGCCGACACGTACCTCGGTCTCCACGCCGACCTCCAGCAGCGTGACGAGCGTCTCCGCCGTCGTCTCGATGCGCTGCTCCAGCTCCAGCAGGGCGTCCGCCGAGGCGTTGGCGGGGTCCGCGGGGCCGCTGGTGGAGGCCGTGGTCGCGGACCACGTGGCGGCCTGCTGCGCGGGCGGGGCCACGCCGGCGTCCTCGGCGCCGTCCCGGAGGTCAGCGAGTGGCGACGCGAAGCTGCCGTCGTCCGCCTGCCGCGACTGCACCCAGCGCTTGGCGTCCGCCACTAGGGCCGCATCCACGGAGAAGTAGGCCTGCGCCTCCGTCAGCAGCTCCAGCACCGCCACCGTGTTCCTGGAAGCACGGTGGGTGTCAGTTCATTTTCCTCCAGTTAAGCTGTAAGGCGCTTCAAAGAAAACGTTGCCGAAGGAAGAAAATTCCACACAACAGGGCATGCGGAATAAAACCAGTTTTGGCACCTGTGGCTGCCGTGGCTCTTGTGGTCGCCGAAGGAGCCGTCGGGGTGCAGGAAGGCCACCAGGTCCTGCAGGCGGAGTCGCAGCGAGTCGAGCACGCGCTGCTGGTACTCGGCCGAGCTGGAGCTGTTGGCGGGCAGGTGGCGCAGTCCGGGCAGCGGCGCGAAAGCGGACACCGTGGCGGCCAGGCTGCGGAGCAGGCCGAGCAGGGCGTTACTTCACTCAAAGGGACGTGTGCGCCGCAGGGAGCCACGCCACCCCGCATTCCGCCACCCTACCCCCTACCACTGTACACGACGTGCCGGCGCCGCGCCACTCGAAACTCGCGGGTGTTTCCGTGCCACTCTGGCCAAGTCTGGCGGCGCTGCGGTACTTCTCGGGTGGAATGGAACAAGAGGCAGGCGGAATTCGACTGTACCTGCTGCTGTCGGCGGGGTCCCTGCCGGGCCCGGGCAAGGGCTGCTGCAGCCCCGCGCCGTCCTCGGCGGTGGTCAGGTCGTTGTCTTGCAGCGGCTCCGGGATCTGGCCGCCAGTGACGGGCGGAGGGGGCGTACGCGAGTGGCCCGCCCCCGCGCCGACGCCAGCCCCCGGCAGCGCCATGCCGCCGGCCACCAACAAGGTGCCCCTCTCGGAGCCCGGCACCACGGACCGCGGCACGTCCAAGTGCAGCACCTGGGAGTAGCCCGCCTCGTCGTTGAAGTTCCACACCCTGCGGCAGAACGAGCAGAGCGTCACCAGCCTGTCACCAGCCGAGCAGCACACCGACGGGCCAGGCCTCTGGCTGGACCCGCCACCGCGACGACCTGACTCTGAATCGCCAATACTGACCTGAAGTCGGCGGTCTGCCCCCAGCTGGAGGCGAAGCCGATGTGGTTGACCTTCATCTTCTTGACGAGGCGCCACTTGAGCAGCAGGTCCTTGCCGACGAGCGCGCCCCGCCCGAAGCGCACCGTGTTCTGCTCCCACGACACCCAGAACGTGCGCTCTTTCACGGCGGACAAGATGCCCGGGGTCTTGGCGGACGACAGATGAACAGAGTACTCTGCGAAGGAAGAGGTCGTTGAAGGAAAAGTGACAGAGACTGAATAATTTGCAGCGCCTCAGCGGCGTAACTCACCATGCTTGCCGCGGCCGATCCAGGAGATGGTGTTGTCGGCGTCCCCGATGACGACCTGGTACATCCAGTCCGTGGGGGTCATCTGGTCGGACAGCGCGACGCGCGCGCCCTGCCCGGCCCGCACCTCCAGCACCACGGCCTCGCGGTTGCGCGGCGCGGGGACGAAGTCGAAGCGGAAGTTCTCCGACGTGGAGATCATGATGCGCTCTGGGAAGAGAAGAGGAGTCATGAGGCACGTGGCACGTAGCAGCACACTGGTAGAACAAAATGAACAGACAAGGCACGGCAAATGCCTGGCCAAATCCAGAGCGCGACTCACCGTTGGCGCAGAAGTAGGCGCTCTCGGTGTGCACGCGGGTCAGCCCCTCGGGCTGCACGCGGAAGGGCGCGAACCGCACCACCCTGGCCGTGGCGTCCGTCTCGGCGCCGTACACGGCGGGCGCCTGGCAGCTGCTGGCTGCGTGCGCGATCACCTCGGCTGCGGGCAGAGCAAGGACGTCACCACGTGCTCGAGCACCGCGACGACGAGAAGGGGAACGGGGACGTACCCGTCAGGTTGTTGATGGACTGCGCCGTGGCCTGCACGCGCACCACCAGCGAGGTGGCGCCGTGCGGGCCCAGTCGGAGCCGCTCCGACACGAAGCCCAGGCCGCTGCTCTGGAAGTGCGCGCCGTCCTTCAGCGACAGCAGCGCCGACACCTGCAAGCAAGGCGCTTAGAAGGAGGAGCTCTCGGAGGAGAAAGTCAGCGACGGTCCAGGGCTGCACTCACGTCCACGCAGGAGTTGAGGTTGTTGGCGATCTTGACGCTGACCTCCAGCACCTCGCCGACGCGCAGCGACCGCGGCAGGCGGAAGTCGACGCCGAGCGGCCGGAACACCGTGAAGGTGGCGGCGTCGCTGAAGCGCAGGCCGGAGGTGGGCGACAGCGACAGCCCCCACAGCGTCCACTGGCCGGCGCCCTCGGGCACCGTCAGCGACACGCCCTCGGCGGCCACGCGGTTCCTGCCGGACAGCGGGCAACGCCAGGTCAGGGGTAAGTCCAGCAGGCCCATGCTCCCTGCAGCGTGCAGCCACTCACGTGTAGTTGATGCAGTGCCACAGCCACAGCTGATCCAGCTGCAGCCGCCGCAGCCCGTTGAGCGCGTCCTGGCCCGAGGGGTGCGGGTCGGCGCGGGCCTGGTGGAAGCGCACGCCGCCGCCCGGCCCCGGCGCCACGCACTGCCGCTCGTACAGGCTCAGCCCGGCGTCCAGGAAGTCCACGGCCCGGCTGCTCGGCCGGCCGGAGTCCTCCGAGGCCCCCGGCGCCGGCCCCGGCTTGCCGCCGTTCGGGACGCGGCCGCCCACCAGGCAGATGAGCGAGTTGTCCTCGGCCAGCACCTCCACGTCCATCGTCTCGCCCGGCGCCCAGGACGGCTTCTGCTCGAAGCTCAGCGACATCTGTGCAGACGAGGGGCAGTCGCGTTAGGGCAAAGCTCGCATGGGAGGTGGCCGCGCTAGAAAAGAGGACGTACCCGCTTGTCCAGGAGCCGCACGTCGAACGTAGTGACGTCGCTGACTGGCTCGCCGGACGCCGTCACGTAGTACACCAGCAGGCGGCTCACCGGCGCCATGGTGGGGTCCACGGTGAACCTGGAACACGCGTGTCACGCGCCGTTTGCTACACTGCCTGGGGCCGGATCCATTTTGGCGGGGAATTTTAAATCAAGCGTGGTGATTCGAAGAAGGGTGGGGGATACCCATGGGCCCCACCCACTGCGCCGCGTGCTGTGCTTCCTCAGGGCAATCATATTTGGAGGCAGCGGGGCGCAGCAGACGACGCCACGGCCTCCGCGTCCGCCTCGGGGCCGTGTGCGGCCGTGTGCCGCGCGGCAGGGTCCATGCGGCCCGGCGGCGCGGCGGCGCGGCCAAGGCGCGGCGGTAGCGAGAGCATGGCGTTAATGAGCTTCTATCGGTCTGTGAAATTGGCTTTCCGCCTCGCCTGACTTTCAGATGAGGTTGCCGGTGTCGCCGAGGCGGCGGCGGCACTGCTTGTGGAGGGAGGGGCGGCCGCCGGAGGGGTGGCCGTCGAAAGGGTAGCCGTCGAGGGGGTGGCCGTCGAAGGGGTGGCGGTATTACAAGATACGTCACGGTCACCGATAGCTCCATTAGGGCCTTGGTGAGGAGGGGCGGCACTGATCCGCCTTGCAAGGACAGGCCGTGGCGGGGGAAGAGGATGAGTCAGGAGCATAGGGTCCAAAGCGCGTCATCATCCACCCCTCCCTCGGCCTTCTTACGCCCTGCTGGTCAAAAGGGCCGCAGGGAAGGCCCGGGGAGGGGGGGGGGTGATTGGCAGCACTGTGTCCGCCAGCTGGGCCTCACAGCCGGGGGTTTATGGGCCCCGGTAATTAATGGAGAAGACTCCGTCGGTGTTCAAGAAGCGCACATAAACTCCTTTTTGTTTGTTTGGAAGAGGCTTACGTGATGTTGGTCTGGCAGGCCGCGCCGCCGCCGTCAGCGGGGTCCAGCGTGGTGCCCTGCTGGCCCTGCTGGTCGCTCCAGTAGGTCACGTGGCCCTGGGTCGTGACCACGTAGTGCAGGTCCGTGCGGCACGGGCACGTGGATAGCACGCGCACGCGCGCCTCCTCGCCGACGGCCATGGTCTTCTCCACGCCCTCCACGAGCAGGAAGCACTGCGAGGACGAGTTCCAGCGGTAGATGTCCTCGCGGGCCAGCACGTAGTGGGACTCGATCTCCTTGCCCTCCACCGACACGAGCTCGGCCTGCAGCGCGATGCGCGAGCTGTCCGCCATGATGGAGGGCACCACGAACGTGGCCTCCCCGCTGCTGATCTCCACGTCCTGGCTGTAGATGGCGGTCGTGTTGTCGTACAGCTTGATGCGCACCCGCACCGACCGCTCCGAGCTCACCGCCTCCACCTGCGGGCAGTCGAGGGTTCAAACACTGGCCGCGGCGAGTTGTTGGTGCTTTTCCCTCCAGGCTACTGACCTTGCCGATGAACGGCATGTTGGGCTTGTAGACGCGGCGCATGCCGTTCCCAAAGCGCAGCTCCACGAAGTGCTCCTCCGCCATGGCCACCTCGTTGTCGGCCGTGGAGGAGCGCGCTGAGGCAGCGGACGCCGGCTGCTGCTGGGGCTGCGGCTGTTGCTGCGCGGCCATGGAGCGCGCCCAGGACCACCCCCAGCCCCAGCTCCAGGCCTCGTCCGGCCCCGTCAGCGACACGTTGAGGTCGGCGCCGAACGACGCGTCCTCGACGGCCACCTCGAGCCGCCACCGGCCCAGCGACGCCCCCGGGGACAGCGAGAAGGAGAAGCTGCGGACGCCTGCGGAGGGGGTAGGGTTTTAGCCGTTTTAGCGCACACCAAAGCAGTCTCAACGCGCGGAATTCGACAGAATTTCACTGCCGCTAATGCCGAGCGGGTGAGCCCACCTTGATCCAGGGGCACGTCCTCCCAGACGGCCACCTTGGTGCCAGCGGGGTCCTTGACGGAGACGCTAGCCAGCACGTCGGACGGCAGGGTCATGTCGTGGCTCAGCGCCAGGATCCAGAAGCCCACTGGAACAGAGCAAGCCAAGGCGTGTGGTGGTGTGTGGTGGAGGGGGTGACGACGCGGCCGCCACGGCCAAGACGTCCCGCGGCCCCAGGAACACGTCCTAACTCTACAGAGGGTGGCATGCTTGATCCCACGCCGTAAAGCACGGACGAGGTGTTCCATTGTGAACTCGCGCCACGTCATCCTAAAGTAGTACTTTCGAAAATAAAATGGTTACATTTGGAAAATGGGTGCCCGCGCGGCTCTGACTCACCTGTGTCGCCGGGGGCGGCGTGCGCGCGGTCCGAGCGCACGATCACGTCCCTGACGGGGGGCAGGAGGCGCAGGTCGGCCGTGGCCGTGAGCGGGCATGGCGCCGAGGCCGCCGTCGACGCGGAGCCCGCGGCGCACTCGACGATGGTCTGCAGCGTGCACAGCCCCGCTGCGTCCTGGGGCACGTGCAGCGGGATGATGCCGCGACCTGCGAACAAACGGAGAGCTCTCTGACAAAGGGAGCGACAGAGATGGGCAACGTCCACCACGCAGAGCGAGAGAGAGAAAGACGACCGACATCCATAACGAGGGCGGAGAGTAAGCAGCAGACGTCGACGTAATTATTCCGATTCCAGTTTTTCAAGTCCGCCGACGGCGCGGGGCGAGGTGGGTCGAGGGTGGGGGTGGAAACGAAAGAAAATAAAAAGAAAGCGGTGAGGAAGAAGTTGAAAGGGGCGGCGACGTCGGGTCGCGGACGAGAGTAAAACGCTGGGAGTGTTTATCACATTTCGCCTTGGCCGGCGCTGCCCACGCCCGCCCCGCCTCACCCCGCCCCACCCCGCCGCACCGCGGTGTGCTCAGGTTGCTGGTAATGAAACTCTTATTTCAAGAGGGTCCCGTCCCGCTGCAGCAGCGCGGCGCCGCTCTGCTTGGCTCTGTTCCGCTTGGCTGTTTCGCCGCCAACGTCAAGTCCCTCCCGGTCCTGGTGCGGCTGCAACTCGCGGCCGTGTCTCGAAGCCAAAGCCAAAAGGGAGAAGCGCGCGGCTTTGGCGGCTGAGTTACAACCAGCTGCGTCCGCGGACAGCGCGGCCGTCGTCCACCGCCACGGGGACGCTCCGCGAGTGCGAGAGAGACAGAGCGACGAGAGCGACTCTCGGAATCAGCCTGCTGGACCGGGCTCAACTCACACACACGAACGGCCTTGCCTCTTTTCCCGTCCTGCGGCTTCCATTTAATCTGCTTTCCTGAAATGCCATTTCCGTCCTCGGCGGCCTTCATCTGGGCCCGCTGTGTCTTTGCCCGCGTGTTGTGGTCGCCAAGTGCCCCCCCCCCCTTTCCCCTTGTTTGCCGTCGCCGAGGTCAGCGCCACCTTCCGGCGAGGACCGACTGCTGTCCTTTCATTTTCCTCATTGTCGGCGGAAACGCTTCGGGCGGGGAAAAGACGCGGGCAAAAAAGCTCCGGAAAAAGGGAACGCGCGAGATCGAAGATCGAAGCAGGACGGAGCCGTTAGGTGACGCTCTGCCGGCATGCGGGGGCGAGGGGGGGGGGGGAAGCAGAGGCGCGCACAGGGAAGAAGACCCCGCAAAAAAGAAGAGGGAAAGAAAGTGGAAGGGAGGCGGAGGCGGGGCCGCCTGCCTAATCAATCAAATGACAGGGACATTATACCACCAGGCCTCGCGGCGCTGCGCGGCGCGGTCGCTGGCAAGAAGACGGAGCGACGACAAGGCTCTGCACTCGCCGTGAGGCTGGCGTTGCCGTGCCGTGCCTTGCCTTGCCACTGGCACACTGCGAAGAACGCGAAACACGCCCAAAGGAGGCGTGCCGAGGTTTTGGAAGACGCGGCCGCGGCGTCGCAGACCGTCGCCGTTGTCGTGCAGGTCGCCGAGGCGAGTGAGGCGCCTGCGAGGTAGGCAGCCGGCCGCGCTCCACGCAGCGCCGCCCGCCGGGTGGCCTACCCACGACTTCGCAGGCGTTCGTCGCCCGCAGCACCACCAGGGCACCGCGCGGCGTATCGTCGCTCTCTCTCTCTCTCGCACGTGGACGGGGCTCCCAATGAGTGCGAGAGAGACAGGGCAAGCCTGTAGGACGCCACGGCAGGGGAAAGGGCGACGAGGACGCGGGCCTCCGCCGTCCCGGCCGTCCCCGCGCTCCCCGTGTTCGTTTACGCTGCAAAAGACCGAGTGGCCCGAAGAGAGGGAATGCGCGCGTGTGCCTCTTGCGTGTACGTGTGTGTGTGTGTGTGTGTGTGTGTGTGTGTGTGTGTCGCTGAATGCGCGGTCGGTGCGTTCCCCGCTGCCGCTGCCGTGCCTCGAGGCGGTGCGCCAGAGCGTTGTTCAATGGCGGCATGCCGCGCTCGCCGCGCTCGCAGCGAATCAAGCAGCGGCTGACGAGGGCTTGTTGAAAGAGCGCTGTGCCGCACCGCTGTCGCATTTTCCGATCGCCGGGGGACTCGCCGCTGGGTAGACCGGGCACAGTGGGCCAGAGGACCGGTGGAGGCGGCCAAAACTCTAGACGCGTTTTGAGCTCCAGAGTCGCTAAATGGGACTCGAAACGAGCGTGTGGTCCCACCAATGGATTGCTCTCCGAACGAGGAATCCAACGGTGGGGTCACACGTTCGGTTCGAGTCCCATTTAGCGACTCTGGAGCTCAAAACGCGTGTAGAGTTTTGGCCACCTCCACCGGTCTTCTGGCCCACTGTGCCGGGCCAGCGCGCTGCCGTGCTGCCGTGCTGCAGAGCCAGTGTGTTGCCAGAGTCCTCCGGGTGGGGCCGGGCGGGGCGGGGCGGGGGCTTTGGACGGGTCTCAGGCTGCGGGGGCTCAGCGAGGGGATTGCGGCCGATACGGGGCCATTCAAAAGGCGTCCAGCGAAAAGGCGGCGGGGGAGGGGGTAGGGGAGAGGCGGAAGGGGGCAGGAAGAACTGAGCCGACCTCAGACGGCCGGACTGTCGGGGGGCTGGCGGGGCCGGCGGGGCCGGCTGGCCACAAGTCGTCGTGGGGATCTAGTGGCCAGAGATGGACAGGACGCCTCGCCCCGCCTCGCCCCGCCTCGTCCTTCATCCCACCACAGACAGTGCTGCGGTTTCGCTCCCTAGCCCGACTGCTGGCGGGGCTGGCGGGGCTGGCGGGGCTGGCGGGGCTGGCGGGGCTGGCAGCGGAGCGCTCGAGTTGCGTGAAGCGCTTGGAAGCGCCCCGCGTGCCTCTCGCCGCCACTAGAAGCGGGACTCGACGCGAGCAGCCGCACGCCTGGGGAGAGACTAGAGACCTCGGTGGAGACGCGCCAAACGGCACTCGAGAAGGCGGCGGTGGGCGCAACAGTCTCCCTCTAGCCTACTCGGCGAGGAGAGGAGAGCCAGCCTCTGCCAGCCTGCCGGGAAACTTCCTCCAGCCCGGCCCGGCCCGGCTGCGGGAGTCGTCTAGGTGCACTGGGTTTGTCTTTACCATCCGCGAGCCCCGCTCCGAGCCCCAGGGGCCTTGCCGGCCCCGGCGGGGCCCCGCTGGTACACTGGAACGGGGCCCTGGAGCGCTACAGCTCCTCGCTGCGGTCGTGTTGCCGCGCCGCTAGCCGCCTTGTTCTGCCCGACCCCCCGCCGCCCCGCCGCCCCGCCAGCCCCGCCGGACAACAAGGGCCAGCAATGAATGCCAACAGACCCCAGCCCCGCCGGCCCCGGCAGCCCCGCACCCTCAGGAGAAATTTTCTCCCCGTCCACCGCCGCCTTCTCCTTCTCCTCCTCGACGAGGTGTTCGGAGGGCGGCGCGGCGGAGAAGGCCCCGCTCTTCGGCATCGACGTCGGCGTCGTCGTCATGCTCATCGGTGCACGGACCGCGTCGACGGCGCCCTCCAATGCCCTCCATTACCGAGCCTCGAAAAGGCCTGGCGGGCCTGGCGGGGCTGGCGGGGCTGGCAGCAGGCCGAGCGAATCCATTTCGCGTCGACGGGTGCAGAAGGCAGCACGCAGACAGGATTTGGCCAAGTAGTGTGCCGAGCTGAGTGCTTCTCGGTGCCGAGCCGAGCCGAGCCGAGTCGGGGAGTCGGACCGAGCCCCGCCGGGCCGTGCCGCCGTGCCCTGGCGCGGGCCGGGGTCGCGCTGTGCGAGCAGCAGCGAGCAGCGAGCATGGGCAGGCACTCCTCGTGGTGGCGAAAGCGCGAGGCCGTGGAGGCCGTGGCACGGCGTGGCGAGGCAGCCGGCCCATTGTTTCGCCATGGAGTTGGCGCCACTTCACGGCGACACACATTCAGGCGAGCCGAGCCGCGTCGTCGCGAAAGCCGAGGCGAAAGCAGGCGAAAGCGAGCAAGGCGCGAAAGCCGAGCCCAGAAAGGCTTTCCCGTTCGTGTCCCTACAGTATATTTTCAGCCCGGACGTCCCGCGCGGCCCCACGGCGCGCTCAACAGTGTGCGCGCCGCGCGCCGCCTTTGTGGTCCGCTTTATACTTTCAATAGCTGCAGCAGAGGGAAAACAACGACAACAACAACAACAACAACGGCGAGATGCCTAAGCGCCGCTGCACTGCGCTGCACCGCGCTGCACGTGCACTAAGGGCCGCGGGCATCGTTATGCACTTGTTGGCGGAGGTCGCGGCGCGCGGCGCGCTGAAAGCACCGCGGACAGAGCCAGCCGGCCTGGCTGACGGCGCCCTGCCCTGCAGCGCATCCCCGCCGTTACGACGTGCAACGCCTCTAAAACACATAACCGGAATCGGAATTACACAAAGTTCATGGGTCTACATTGAATAGGCGAGCAACGCGCTGGCGTCGCTCAACACTGCAGTCAGGATAACAACTTGCAGGTGAAAACACTATACTTCAAAAACCGTAAAAAGGGGGGAAAACTTTGATAAAAGAAACGCCATGTTTTAGTTTTCGTTGAAAGGGGATGATGAATTGGGCGTGGGCCCGCCTCGCTACAGCGTGAAAGAAAATCTGAGGCGGCGTTTTGGGGTCGGCCCAGCCCCGCTCCGCTCCGCCCCACCTCGCCCCGCCCCGCCCCGCCCCGCCCCGCCCCGGCCGGCAGGTTGACGGTCCGATCACCGCGGCCTTTTATTGAAAAGCGCGCTCCGCCGCTCCACCGCTCCGCCCCGGCCGGCGTTCTCATCAGGGCCGCTGATTGTGCGCGCGCCGCGCGTATTGCCGCCTGCCCTACACTGTACAGGCCTTTGATGGAATGGACCGCCACGGGAACCGCCACGGGACTCCCGCAGGCTGACTCCGAACAGTGATTCGTCGCTCTCTCTCTCTCTCTCTCTCTCTCTCTCTCTCTCTCTCTCTCTCTCTCTCTCTCTCTCTCTCTCTCTCTCTCTGTCGCACTCGCGGCGGTGCGTGTGAGTGCGAGAGAGACGGGCCGGGCCATGGGCCGGGCTGCCTCGCCGCCAAAGCGGCGCTGTTCCGGGCGAGCGCGTCAGGCCGTCGGGCGCACCGCGCGGTGGAAAGTGAAATCCAGCCCGGGCGATGCGGTGGCGGTGGCCTGGCGGTGGCTTGGCGGTGCCCTGGCGGTGGCGCCGGGGGTAAGTGCAAAATGTTTACCCCGGCCGCCGCCAGGGCCCTAGCAGGGGGCAGCACCGTCGCGCTACGACCCCGGTGTAATCCCAACAGGCTTGACCTTCTCAAAGAGACGGCGGCGGGGCGGAGGCGTGGGGGACCCTCCCTTTCCCTCCAGGAGGAGGACCTCCTTCACGTCGCCCGGGAGACAACAGCAGCATCAACTTGAGGGGGAGCTTAGAGGCACATTAGGCGGGGCAGCGTGGCGATGGCCAGCGGTAGGGCCTTGTTGTCCTTCAAGGTAACCGCTGCGTCCTCTTTGTACTTTCTCTCTCTCTTGTTCTCGTCGTCCTTCGTCCTCGTCGGTCTCTTTGCCGAATCCGCACGCGCCATAACACGGGGCCCTTTGTGTCTGTGAGTTGCCGTCGTCTGCAGCGTTCGTCGCCCTGTCTCTCTCGCACCCTTACGGAGTGCCCCGTCGGTGCGACAGAGACGGAGCGACGACAGGAAATCTGGAGGACTTGAGGACTCGGCATTGGCTGCGTGGCTCGGGTGGCGCGCAGGCGGACGGCCGGAGGGTCCACACAGAGCGCAGCGCGCAGCACGGCGACATAGGATACCACTACACGGTAAACAGGCTCTCTTTCCTTTCATCTCGGATTATTTTTCGTCTTTCTCCTTTTAGCGCACCGCCCCTCACAGCCAAAATGGTGCTAAGGTGACGCCCGGAAGGCGAGACAAAAAATTGAACCGCCAAATGCGATCGCTTAGGTGGACTGAAAAAAAAATTACAAGTGAAACAAAATTTGTCTTACTGACCTTGGATCTGCGCGGTGCTCTGCACGTAGACCTTGGAGCCCGCGCCGCTGAGTCGTAGCGTGACGTTGCGCACGGGCGTGACGCGCGTGACGGCGGGCACGGGCGTGACTGCGTCCGGGCCGCCGTGCAGCGTGACCAGCACGGCCGTGGGCCTGCCCGGCACGCCCACCTCGGGGGCCACCACGGAGAAGCCTCTGCAGGGCAGACAAGGAAGAAACAAATTAGTAACTTGGCTGTTTCATGTTGTTCTTTATTTGGAACGGATTGGCCGCCAAGGCGGCGATACACGCGCTGAGATGCCGGTGGTGTCCCTCTCGCACCACAGCGGGGCATCCCAAGTGTGCGACAGAGACAGACAGAGCGGCGAAACGACTTTTTGGAACCAGTCTGCAGACACTCGGGCGGATAAACAGAGGAATCGGCACGTTATCCACAACCATTAGGGTGGCCATCCGTCTTGGACGCCGATCCGGGCCGCCGGGACCACGCCAGCACGCCCCGCGGAACGCCCCTGGAACGCCCCTGGAACGCCCCGCGGAACGCCCCGCGGAACGCCCCGCGGAACGCCCCGCGGAACGCCCCGCGGAACGCCCCGCGGAACGCCCCGCGGAACGCCCCGCGAACGCCCCGCGGAACGCCCCGCGAACGCCCCGCGAAACGCCCCGCGGAACGCCCCGCGGAACGCCCCGCGGAACGCCCCGCGGAACGCCCCGCAGAACGCCCCGCGGAACGCCCTGGGCCGCTACATGATGCGGGCCAACTTGGAGGCGGGGGCACCACAACGCCGTCAGCCAGAGACAGCAGACGGCCACGACACGAAACCTTGCGAACTTGGACTCCAGCAGCCATGGTCCCTACTGGTCCCTACGGAAGCGGTGCGGCGGCGGGACCGATGGGGCTGCCGTTGAACCGTTGAACCCGCCCTCGCCAGCCAGCAGGCAGATTCCGAGCCGTGATTTCAACCCCCTGTCTCTCTCGCACTCATGGGCCGTGCCGTCGGGGTGCGAGAGAGACCGAGCGACGGCGCCCTGTTCGGAATCGGCCTGCAGCCCCCCTCCCTTTCCGTTCGCTCATTGTCCGCCGTTTCCGCTGATGTTCGAGCCAAGACGTTGTCAAATTGCCCCTCCTTGGGCCCGGATATGATGTAAGCCCGTCGCGGTTGTCGAGGTAATTTGTCAAGAGGACGACAGAGGGCGGGGCCGGCAGTGGCGTAGCCGCCGTGCACACGTAGTGGGCGGGGAGCGGCGCAGCAGCAGCGAGGCCACCGTCGTGCACCCCATCCAGGCCACCACCCAGGCCACCATCCAGGCCACCACCCAGGCCACACGGTTCAGCAGCGCCCCGCCGGCTCGCCCCGGTTTCGCTGATGAATTACCATTTTCTGTTTGTGGAATCGATACTAGTCGATCCGTTTGATTAGCCACCCGTGGCGGCCGCGGCTATTCGAAGCCCCCTCCCCCTCCCCTTCCCCCTCATCCTTCCGGTCACGGCGCAGCAGAGTGGTGGCCGCGGCTTCCGGCAGGCTCCTGGACCGCGTCCCGGACACGGCGAGGGGAATAAGGAAGCAAAACAACAACAACAACAACAAATGCAGCCTCGGCCAAAACAACAGCAACAAAAGCCGGGGAATCTTTCGAGATTGGCGGCGCGCGGCGCGGCCGAGCGAGCAGCGCCGAAGGAGGCGGAAAAAAGAAGAAAACTTGCCGGGAGTGACGTCACACGGCGGGGAGGCACCACTGCGCCAATGTGAAACTGGAACGGGAAGGCCATGCACCGCGCAACGCGCAACGCACCGCAGGAAGGCAGGAGGCGTGAAAAATTAGATTTAATAAGCGCGCGAAAGCCCAACCACATTAATTCCCGCGCCGCCGCCGCAGCCAGCCGGGCGGCCTCGCTGTCGCGGCGACATTCTCCCCGTGCCTGCTTTTGCTGCTTTATTAGATTCGCGGAGTGTAGGCCGCCGGGCCGGTCGGTAAGTACACTGGCATGCGTGGCGAAGCGGAGCGCGGGGCGCACAAACAGACAGCGTACGCGGAAACGAGACCAGCAAACACTCAGCCGCCGTCCCCGCCGCCGCCGCCCCCAGCCCGCCGCGAACCGCATCAGCAGCGCACTGTAGCGGTGCAGCCGGGTGCAGCAGACGCCGCGGCGGCCTTGCCCGGCCCGGCCCAAGTAGTGGTGCAGCGTGGCCATAATGCGCCATGATGCGGCCGTCAAAGTTTACAGCGGAGGCCTCGCCGAGGGCCTTGGGCCTTGCACAGTGGAGGGCGCGGCCCGCGCAGCCCGCACAGCACGGCCGCTGCTTCCTCTCAAAGATTCTTCCCCCGTCTTCGCCGGCCTCGGCCCGCCCCGGCCGGAAGTGGAGCGATCGCGTTCGAGGAGTACTAAGATGGCCTGTTTTATGCGCGCCCCGCCCCTTCTCTGCAATTACCCTGTCCCGGACGGTCCCGGATAAAAAAGAGAGGAGGGGTCGCTTTCGCCTCGCGCTGCCGGACAGGCTGGGATGGGCTGGGCGCCTCGCTGGGTGCAGAGTGTTGCCTAACGCCCCGCTCCGCCGCCGAGGCCGTCGCCGAGGCCACCGAGGCCGCCGCCCCACCAGAAGGGCGTGCCTCTGCGCGACGTGCCGTGCGAGGGGAAAAAAGAGACGCGGCGTGGACCTCTCCCTGCCCTCCCTCAGGGCCGCGCGCACGCAGCGTGCTGGGTAAGAAGCAGCCGCCGTCGCCTTCATTTACGCCCCCTCCCACGGTCTCCGCCACGGCCTCCACCACGGCCTCCACCACGGCCTCCACCACGGCCTCCACCACGGCCTCCGCCAGGGCCCAATGATGGCGGGGTTGCGGCAGGGTCACGCGGCGCGGTGCGCACCGATTTCGCGGCGTTTTGTTTCGAGAGCCAATGAAGCGAGGTGGGGCGCTGAGTGGGGGTCCCGTCCGCCCCGCGCCCCCCGCGCGCCCCGCGCGCCCTGCACCTGCCGAGGCCAATTTGGGGGCCGAGGCCGAGGCCACCAGCAGCGCCGGCCCCGCGCTTTTTACGCGGATACTTCTTGCAGGCGAGTTAATGGGCGAGACCCGAGCCGATTTCACAATTCGTTTGTTCCTCGCCGGGCACGGCGGGCACGGCCTCGGCGCCATGGCGGCGCGCTGAGTGGTCGTTTTTACCTGCCGAGGCCGGCGGGCCGGTGCCGTGCCGTGCCGTGCCGTGCCGGGCCGGCGCGGTGGAGAGGCGATAACGAACCAATTACTTCCCTCCGGCGGACGGGGCGGACGGGACGGGCCTCGGCCGGCCTCGCAAGGGTCGTACGTGAGGGCTTCCGGAGGGCGGCGTCCGAAGCCGCGTCCGAGGCCGCGCTGCAGCTGCAGGCCGGGGCGGCCACGGGGCGGCCGCGGCCCGGGGGCATTAACAGGAGGAAAGGACGGCGCCACTTGGCCTCGGACCCGAGCTCCGCGCCGGCGGTGCTTCGGCTGCTTCGGGGTGCTTCGGCGGCCGGCCGACCGAATGATCGGAGAGTGAGTTCGATTGGCCGGGGCCCGGGCAGACGGCCCAGCGCGGCGCTGAAGGGTCGGTCGGGACGACGTGTGCTGAAAAATAAACTCGGCGGCCGGCTTGGCAAATTATGCGTTCTCCATCATGAGAGTGCCGGGCGGAGGCCGGCGAAGGGGAGGGGGCGTGGGGGCGAGCCGGAGGACGGGTGGGGAGGGGGCTGCTGGCAAATCGCCTGCCAATAGCCAGACGCATAAAACATGCGCCACGCCTTTGGAGGTGGGCCAACACCTTTCCGAGGCCGAGTTGGCCGGGGCCGTGTGCAGTGGCCCGCGCCTCTCGGCCTCTCCGCGGGGCCGAGGCCCGCCGAGGCCCACAACCCGACCCGCCTTAATCAGTCTAATGGAGATCCATCTCGCCGAATCCGAACTCATCATCACCTTGCACACAAACTAGAGCGCGCCGCAAACAGGGGCAGGCAGATAGACAGGCAGACGGACGGGCGGGGTGCGCGTTAATTCCTAGTAATTGGCCTTTGGCACACACACTCCCTACAATCAGCAGCTCATTATCGGCTTGTTTGCAACTACAAACAATCACGCACGTAATTAATTCGTTATTGAAAACTAATACCAGAATAGCAGAATAAGGCGGTGTCTGTGCGTGGATGCGCGGCGCCACCGCAGTGCGCTGTCCGCCCGGCCGCCTGGTAAGCTCCGCTAATGACACCGCAACAACGCGCTTCTTGCTGTGGCCGCGCCGCGTCGCTCCGTCTCTCTCGCACTCACGGGGCGTCGCGCAGCGGTGCGAGAGAGACGGCGAGAGGGAGGGCGTTGTTCGGAAGCAGCCGGGCGCGCTGTCAGACACGCCGCAGCCGCGCGGCCAGCGCCGGGAACAGAACCACACAGCAGCCTGTACTTAGGCCGCCCGCCCCACCTTGCTGCCTGGCTGCCGTGCTGCAACACACACAAAAGCGGCTCGCGGACAACTTTGGCGGTGCCGCGGTGCGCCGCGCCGCGGTACCCGATCCGCGCCGGAACTTTGGCCGCGTCGTGCGTGGCTTGGCGGGAGTACCACAGGGAAGTCAACACGGAAAAGGCCTCGGAGACAGCCGACTCGAAGCATGGCGGTACAGCCCCCCTCCGATTCACAGAAACAGAGCTAGAAGCGGTAGCAAGACCGCTTAAAAAACATTCCACGACAAAAGCACTTGGAAACAACCCGTTTCTGCGAATGAGCGAGCGTCAGTGGATCGAGATCCAGCCTCCCCTTCTCCCTGCCCCAGCCACGCCGAGGACGCCGTCGACTCGTCCGGAGAGTTTGCGGCGGGATTGGGCCGCTCTGGATAACTCCGAGCCCCCGCAGCCCCCGCGCAGCCCCCGCGCAGCCCCCCAGCGTCCCCTAGAGAGGCCGCAGTTTGATCTGACCCCGGCCGCCGCGCCGCGCCATGCCCCGGGCCGGCGCTTCGTGCCTAACTCCCTGTCAGCCGAGATTTAGAGAACCCCCGGCGACGCGGTGGAGCCGGTGGAGCCATGGCATGGCCGCGCCGGGCCGCCAGACTGCCGCGCTGCCGCCGCGGTGCCGCCACTGCTACCCTCGACCCCCGGGCTATTCTCCATCACGGTGTTGC